ATTGATATGCACCCAACTTTCTTGTTACAATCACTCCCTTGGCTGCTTTGTTCATTTCCAGGCACAATTCGAACTCATAACCTAGAAATCCCTATAGGTCCTGGCTCTCTGAAGGACCATTTCTCCCTTTTTGAACCCAAGCTTTTCAGGAGAAGTCTGCCTTCTCAGGAATAATGATGGTGATGATGATGATGATGATGATGCTACTAGTAGTAGTAATAGTCGCCACTGCCCCTGGGATCTTAAATGGAAGGGAGACATTGCCTGTCATTATTATTATTAGGCAATAATAATAATAATTCTGAGCCAAACTATACAGAAAGCCAAACAGCTGAAAGAGGACTGGACATGGTATGATTCCAATGAATGCTGCGCAAGTTATTTTTGCACTTTGGACTCAGTTTGCAGCAATTGGATGAAGCTGAGAACAAATGGGGAAAGCTGGAGGAGGAAACCAGGACATTTGAAACATAACTGGAAAAAGTGGAATGTCAGAGGAGTAACCAGCCAAAATGGGTGCTATTGCTGCCAACACCGGGACAGCTGGATGGTGTGCCATGCACCTGCAGACATAGATTGGTTGGCACAACAGGATATGGGGGCATGAGTGGAGTGGCAAAGGAGGAGAAACCGGAGGTTTGAGTTGGCCAGAAGAACAAGATTTGGCTGGCAAAGAGACCAGGGTTGGGTGTGTCTATTGGCTGGGGGAAAAATTTGGACATGAATTCCCTGCCGGAGAAAGAAAGAGAGACCCGGGTATGTTTTGACTGATGCACAGAAAACGTCAAGGTCACGTTCATTTGCACAAGGTAATTGTCTTGACAGGCATAAAGCTCAGGAGGGTCAACCCACTGGCACAAGGCACAAGTTGGCTTGGCAGTTGGCACACCAAAATGGGTGTGCTTGCTGGAACTTCCAGAGCAATGGCGGTGTGCCAGTTGGCTGGCAGAGATGGGGTGGTTTGCGTGGGTGACTTGGCTGTTACATGGAGGGTGCCTTCTGTGAAAGGGACACTGTGTGTCCTATTGTAGCAGGACACTGGAGATTCAAACCGCCGCTTTACAGATCTCCTTTCGGCCTTGTCCTCATTTTTCTTTTCCTGGGAACTTGGTTATCTTTCATCCTCACTGGAGTGTCTTGGAATATTCCCAAAAGCAGACTTTTATAGAAAGGATGCCATTGTATTATACCACTGGGACATGGGCATCCATGAATTTGGGCGTCCTGGGACCAAACCAAGGGGAGAAGGCAGAAATAATAATAATAATAATAATAATAATAACAACAACAACAACAACAACAACAACAACAACAACGGTTATCAGATTATACCATTATATGCCCACTGGCATTCAGAATAAAATAATACAGATGCCGAGAATTCCTAGGGACGCATGCCTGTCCGGGAGGACATTTTAATCTCCCTGCCGCTAAGTGTCTGAGTGTTACCTGAGGTTGGCGCATCCATCCGTAGCCAACGCAAATAGCTCCTGATACTCTTATCATCCTCTTATCACACCAAGCGCCACATCACCACGCTATTGAACACAGAGCAACTTTCCCTGAAGTGTGCCGGAGGCAATAAAAATAATGAAGGGCTGAAACAATGCTCAGGCAGATGGGCAGCCATCTCTTTGTTGCCATCGCTCTGGGTTGCCTTTGCTCTGTCCGGGCTCCTCATTTCACACATAGATGCGGAAGGTGCCAAGGATTGGAACCTCTCAGTGTCTCGTGGTCATGAAACCATGATACTTAATTGCAAATATGAGCAAGGGGTCACTTCCAATGTGTGTCGGGCACTACCAATGTGTGTCGGGTGTGACCGCAGTGCACAATTCCTGCTTAGCTGGTATCTGGATGGACACCAAGGTGCACCCCAATGTACCAATGGTTCCCACATTGCATTTGGCCCTGGCTCATGAGTCATGCTGCCTGCTGCTGTTGTGGAACAGATGCCCATCCGTTGCCCTTTCGCAATGTCCCGAGATGAATACGGATGTTGCAAAAGGGCACCATTCCATTTTGTCCTCGAGGAAGACGATTTACAGTGTCCCAAGCAGAATGATGCTGACTAATAATAATATTAATAATTTATTCTTCTTGCCAAACATCTTGTACCAGCCCATTCTCCTGTGAGGCCAGACTCTGTGCCACTACTGCCTATTTCCCGGTGCCTCCTTACCAAATGCCCTTCTACCCATTCTTAAGTCTTGCTTAGTACCTGGTGGGCACCGTTGTGCAACAACAGGTTAGGCTTGCCTTTGGCCAGATGTGATGCTTGGGTGATGTGAATGAGTCACTGGGGAGAAAGGCATCTGTATTGGGTCCCAAATGGAAGTTGGCATCCCCTTTGTGCCCGCCAAATCCCAAAAGAGTGAAAACCCATCTCTGTAGGAATCAGGGAAGGCTGCAGACTGGTCTTTCCCTTTTCCAGATGCAACTCCAAGGGAAACATAACCCTAATGGGAAACATAACCAGTCCCAGATGGTTATCGGATGCCCAGATGCCAGGTCCTTTGATGTTGCTGCAAGTCTCTTGATAGTACAGTAGCCGGTTTTTATGGCACACGGAAGGGGTGTGTGTGTTTGCAAACACACCCCGCCTTCCTCATAATGCCAACCAGCCGTCAATCATAAATCAGGCCATGTCAGGCGGGTTCGTGGGAGTGCCTCATTGGCAGTCAGGTGCCTTTCTGGGCGAGCCAAAGGCGGCTTCATTGGCACAGGAGGGAGGGAAGGGCAAAGCCTCCACTTGCAGGGGGCATCTATCTCCAATGACCAAAGGGTGGGCAAATGGGTCTGATGGGTCCCCTAATGGCCCCAGTAGGTACTGCCCCAAAAGGTGCCCCCCTTGATTTGTATCTGGGCATTACTGCTGTGTGTGATGGTCTTGTCCACAGCTGCCTGGTACACAGTAGACTCCTGCAGAGGTAAGAGGATCCCTCTTGTCCTTTGCTGAACATAGCATTTGTTGTATTTTCTTAGTGGGTCTGTAGATAGTTTGTAGGTTGTCTTTCTTCATCAGGGGCAAATCAAGGAACATGAAAGGCATTGCAGACTGATCCAACCAGAGAAGCCAGCCATAGCAAAGCACCTGATTAACCAGCCTGGACACAGCATATTACTGGAGAACTCAGAAATGCTGGACCACTCTAACAGCTGCCATGTCAGGCTACAAAGAGAAGCCATTGAAATCCACAAGCATGTGAATAATTGCAGCAGAAAGGAGGAAACCATGAAAATGAACAAAATCTGGCTACCACTATTAAAAAAAACCCTCAAAATCAGATCAGTAAATAAAGAAAAACACCCAGAAAACATGGGAACTCCAGACAGGAAATAATCAAGGCCAGCTAACACTTCCCATCAAAGGATTCCCCCAGACAGGAAGCAGCCAGGCTTTGAAGCTGCAGGGCTGTTCGGTGCTACTTCCTCACTTACTTACTTAGGTGATCCCTTGTTGTCCGAGTAAGATTGTCCTCCAAGTGTGGTGTCTGGGCGGTGGGTACGTAGGTGACTGTAGAGCCCTATTCTTGATCTGCATGTTCTCCTGCAGTGAGGGCATCAGTTTCCAGGTGGAAGGCAGTCCTGGTCAGGGTTGGCTTGACGCACCTTCCTCTTGGCATACTTCTCTCTTTCGCTCTCCATTCATAACTCTTCAAATTCCACAGCACTGCTGATCACAGCTGACCTCCAGCTGGAGCGCTCAAGGGCCAGGGCTTCCCAGTTCTCAGTGTCCATGCCACAGTTTGTGAGGTTGGCTTTGAGCCCATCTTTAAATCTCTTTTCCTGTCCTCCAACATTCCGTTTTCCGTTCTTGAGTTCGGAGTAGAGCAACTGCTTTGGGAGATGGTGGTCAGGCATACGGACAACGTGGCCGGTCCAGCGGAGTTGATGGCGGAGGACCATCGCTTCAATGCTGGTAGTCTTTGCTTCTTCCAGCATGCTGACATTTGTCCGCCTGTCTTCCCAAGAGATTTGCAGGATTTTTCAGAAGCAACGCTGATTGAATTGTTCCAGGAGTTGCATGTGACGTCTGTAGACAGTCCACGTTTCACAGGCATATAGCAGGGTTGGGAGGACAATAGCTTTATAAGCAAGCACCTTGGTCTCCTTACGGATGTCCCGGTCCACAAAATTCTCTGCTTCATTTGGAAAAATGCTACACTCGCAGAGCTCAGGCGGTGTTGTATTTCGGTGTCCATGTTGACTTTGGTGGAGAGGTGACTGCCAAGGTAGTGGAAATGGTCAACTTTTTCTAATGTTACATCATTAAGCTGCATTTCTGGCATTTGAGAGGGATTGGCTGGCGACTGCTGGAAGAGCACTTTGGTTTTCTCAATGTTCAGTGACAGGCCGAGCTTCTCATATGCTTCTGCGAAGGCATTCAGCGTGGCTTGTAGGTATGAGCACAGACGACGTTGTCATCAGCATATTGGAGTTCTATAACAGATGTTGTTGTGACCTTGGTTTTGGGTTTCAGTCTGTTGAGGTTAAATATCTTGCCATCTGTCATGTAGATGATTCCCACTCCGGTGGGAAGCTTCCCATCAACAAGATGAAGTATCATAGCGATGAAGATGGAACCAACGTTTTTATTTTGCTTCTAATTCATTGACTTATTGGTTAGTCGTTATAAGTTAGTATTCATGGTGTTTATTTATTTGATAATTATTTAATGATAATTATTTAAATTACTTGTTTTATTTCATTGTGTAATGTATCATATTGTTTGTGTTTATATATATATATATATATATTTCTGTTTTATACAGGCATTGAACGTTAGCCTTTATTATGTTGGAAGTCGCCCTGGGGAGATAGGGCGGGCTACAAATATTATTATTGCTATTTAGTGGGCAGAAGGGGGTGTGGCTGGCGAAAGGGAGGCGTGGCCGCCTGGCGCTGCCCAATCAGCGGCGCCGCTTTCGGCCCTGCCCACGCCCTGCGCTACAAAAGGCCCCGCCGACATGCGCTTCCCATTCATTCTACGCCGGCTTGAGAGAGGAGGGAGCATGGCGCATGCGCGGCTCTTCCTGGCTGCTGCCCTCCTCACCTGGGGCCTCGCCGGAGGCTCCCGGGACCCGGATGAAGCGGTCTGGAGGGTCCGAAGGGGCTGGACCATGCCGGGCACGCTGTGGTGCGGAGCCGGGCACTCGGCGGGCAACTTCTCCGACCTGGGTGAGTGGCAAAGCGGCCCTGGGGCGGGACTGGATGCCCTCTGGGGTTCCCTTACCCCAAAGGCACGCCTTTCTCCATCAAAACCGCCGCCCTTTGCGAGAGAGGGGCCCGCAAAGGCATCTAGCCCCACCCCAAAGGGCCCAGGTGGTTGTCGTGGGTGCTCTTGAGCATGTGCAGAGTGCAAATTATTTCCCAACAACAACGAGAAATAAAAAACATCCAGACCATGCTATGGGACCCTGGGAATTGTAGTTTGCCAAAGGGTTCATCAACACGAGAACTAATAATAATAATAATAATAATGCACACTGGGTGCAGTGCCTAAAGACCTTGGCCTGCACTTAAGCACAATCGGCACTGACAAAATTACCATTACTTACTGGGATCTGCATGCATCATTCGCCAATACATCACACAGTCCTAGACACTTGGGAAGTGTCCGATGTGTGATCCAATACAACAGCCAGCAGAGTGATCTTGTCTGCCGTGGACTCACCTTGTTATGTTTCTAATAATAATAAGAAGAAGAAGCCAGTAGAGGTGGTCCCAGTGGTGATCAGCACACTGGGTACAGTCCTAAAGACCTTGGCCTGCACTTAAGCACAATCGGCGCTGACAAAATTACCATCTGTCAGCTACAAAAGACCACCCTACTCAGACCTGCATGCATTATTCACCGATGCATCACATAGTCCTAGACCAGCGTTTCTCAACCTGGGGGTCAGGACCCCTGGGGGTGTCAGAGGGGTTGCCAAAGACCATCAGAAAACATAGTCTTTTCTGTTGGTCATGGGGGTTCTGTGTGGAAAGTTTGGTCCAATTCTATGGTGGGATTCAAGGCTATTTGATTGTAGGGAAACTATAAATCCCAGCAACTACAACTCCCAAATGGCAAGGTCTATTTTCCCCAAACTCCACCAGTGTTCACATTTGGACATATTGAGTATTTGTGCCAAGTTTGATGCAGATCCATCATTGCTTGAGTCCACAGTGTTCTCTGGATGTAGGTGAACTACAACTCAAAAACTCAAGTTCAATGTTCACCCAAACCCTTCCAGTATTTTTCTGTTGGTCATGGGAGTTCTGTGTGCCAAGTTTGGTTCAATTCCATCATTGTGGATTTCAGAATGCTCCTTGATTGGGTGAACTATAAATCCCAGCAACTCCAGAAAATGACAAAATCAATCACCCCCAACCCCACCAATATTCAAATTTTGGGCGTATTGGGTATTTGTGCCAAATTTGGTCCAGTGACTGAAAATGCATCCTGCATATTAGATATTTACATTACAATTCATAACAGTAGCAAAATTACAGTTATGAAGTAGCAACGAAAATAACGTTATGGTTGGGGGTCATCACAACATGAGGACCTGTACTAAGGGGTCGCGGCATTAGGAAGGTTGAGAACCACTGTCCTAGACACTTGCTGGCATGTGATCCCGTACCACAGCCAGCAGAGTGATCTTGTCTGCTGTGGACTTATCTTGTTGTGTTTCAAATAATAATAAACTTTATACAGATTGACGTCATCTGAACTGCCAGGGCTCCATTCTATGGACCCCTGGGAGTTGTAGTTTGCTGAAGGCTTCATCAACACTAGAACAAATGCAGTTTGATATCATCAAGAACTGCCAGAGCTCCTTGCTGTGCAACTTTGGGAGTTTTAGTTTGCCAAAACCCATGTGAAACTGCAACTCCCAGGAGTCCAAAGCATCGAGCTGAGGTCAAGTTGCATGAGTTCTGCACACCTTTTGTGTTGCAAAAAACCACTTTGGGTATCGATCGAGAGAGTAAAGCCGGATAACACTAATACTAATTCCAGTAGTTTTATTCTTATTAATACTAATAAGAAGAAAAATACTGGAAGTAGGGTACAAAATGATTAAAATTATAAAATAACAACAAATCGAGACTCAAAGGTAATAATATTTAATAATAATAATATTAATAATAATAATAGAAGATGCATGGTTATCCTGTGGAACTCCGAGGCACTAGATGCGGCCATTGTGATTCATTGGCCTGCTTTGGAAGAGTTCCTCCCTTTGAAGGGTGGATTTGGCAAGTGGCAAAAATCAAGCCTCCAGCGTCAGGAGCAGTCTGCCTTTCTAATCCCTCAACATCTCTCTTAGGCGGATTCCAAAATGCACTCTAACCCTTCGCCTATAAGCAGTAGCTGAGCTTTGATAGGGATTTAATTTTTAATCTGGAGACCCACCAGTCAGTGTCGGGAATTGGTTTATTTTTCGGTGCCAGTCCTTCTGGACCCGGGTGGATGGCATCGAGGCCACTTTGGTTGCCATGGTGTGTTAAACAGCCTGAGAGTCAGCAATCCTGGTGCCAGCTTGCCTTGGCTCTGGAGGAGTTCCTTTTCTGCTGACGAAACCCATTGGCAAATACATGCTGACAAACTTCAAGGAGAACCAACGAGGACAATGCAAAGGCCTTGGGTGATGGATTTTTGTCATCAGCTCTCCCCTCCTTTTGCTTTCCAGAGGTGCCCAGGGGTATAAAGTGGGCACAGGACCAGGGTGGGGTTGTGCGGAGGAATCCTCACCCATTTGTATGTAAATACACCACTATTATTATTGATATTATATTTTTTATTATTGTACTAGCCGTCCCCTGCCACGCGTTGCTGTGGCCCACATGGGGGTTCTGTGTGGGAGGTTTGGCCCAATTCTATTGTTGGTGGGGTTCAGAATGCTCTGTGATTGTAGTGAACTATAAATCCCAGCAACTACAACTCCCAAATGTCAAGATTCTATTTTCCCCAAACTCCACCAGTGTTCACATTTGGGCATATTGAGTATTCTTGTAGAGTTTGGTCCAGATCCATCATTGTTTGAGTCCACAGCGATCTCTGGATGTAGGTGAACTACAACTCCAAAACCAAAGGACACTGCCCACCAAACCCTTCCAGTATTTTCTGTTGGTCATGGGAGAACTGTGTACCAAGTTTGGTTCAATTCCATCATTGGTGGGGTTCAGAATGTTCTTTGATTGTAGGTGAACTATAAATCCCAGCAACTACAACTCCCAAATGACAAAATCATTTTTTTTTGAGTGAAGGACATACATTGGGTTGTTAGGTCTCTTGTGTCCAAATTTGGTGTCAATTCGTCCAGTGGTTTTTGAGTTCTGTTAATCCCACAAACGCACATTACATTTTTATTTATATAGCTATATATTATATATTTATTCCTTATATTATTTTACTTCATAACTGTCCTGTATGTATGGATTTGGGTCAGATCCATACATCCATGCTCTATGCGCGCCATTCAAAAGGGACATGTTGCACTTCTAATAGGATGCCAGCTGCTGCCTTCAGTTTTTTGGGGTTCTAGATGCTGGTCTCGGTTGCCCATCTGATCCCACTCCTTCCATTGCAGGGGTTTTCCAAGGTCCGGACGTATGCTGCCGCGAACACGATCATTGTGAAGCGCAGATCCCTGCCCTGGGCTACCGGTACGGGAAACGCAACCTTCGACTGCACACCATCTCACACTGCGATTGTGACTCGAGGTGAGTACAGTTGGCTGGAATGCAAGACCCATCATCCCTACGTGATCCTGGTTTGGAATGGTGGGAGTGGTTGTCCCCTGTGGGACCCACCAAGAAGGGAGGGACACATATGGGTGTGCATGCAGTGACATACCCGGGAAGTCATGGATTCAGTCTCCAGCAACTGTGGCTAAAGAGAGGTTATTTTATTTTATTTATTTATTTACACCATTTCTACCCCGCCCTTCTCATGCCCGAGTGGGGGACTCAGGGCGGCTAACACTGGCAACAATTCAATGCCACAATATCAATAACAACAATGTAAAATCAAATACATAGCAAATTAAAACAGTAACATTAATTAAAATCACATACTCATATAATAATATAGTCGCATAATCACAAAGTCACATAGCCGTTTCCAATTGTCATAACAGTCTTATGGTCTGGGTTCAGTGTCTAAAGTGCTGCTGTGCCCAATAGCCAAAGGCTTGGCTCCAAAACCACGACTTTAGTTTTTTTCTAAAAGTAAGGAGGGAGGACGCCGATCTGATCTCACTGGTGCAAATTCCACAGGCGGGGGGCCACCACTGAGAAGGCCCTGTCCCTCGTCCCCACTGGATGCGTTTGTGACGCTGGTGTGACCGAGAGCAGGGCCTCCCCAGTAGATCTTAAATTACGAGGTGGAACGTAGAGAGATATACGTTCGGATAAGTAAGCTGGACCGGAGCCATATAGGGTTTTATAGGTCAAGACCAGCACTTTGAATTGTGCTTGGAGGTGGAATGGCATCCAGTGGAGCTGACATAACAGGGGGGTGGTGTGCTCCCTGTATGGCGCTCCGGTGAGTAATCTGGCTGCTGCCCGTTGGACTAGCTGAAGTCTCCGAACAGTCTTCAAAGGCAACCCCACATAGAATGCGTTGCAGTAATCTATTTGGGATGTAACCAGAGCGTGGACCACAGATTAGACTGCTAACCCTGTCATCCTCCAGCACCGGGCTTGAGGATGATGGGGCTTACCATTCAACTGCATCTAGAGCAGTGTTTCTCAACCTTCTTAATGCAGTTCCTCATGTTGTGGTGATCCCAAACCATAAAATTATTTTCGTTGCTACTTCATAACTAATTTGGCTACTGTTATGAATTGTAATGTGAATACCTGGTATGGAGGATGTATTTTTATTCATTGGACCAAATTTGGCACAAATACCCAATACACCCAAATTTGAATACTGGTGAGGTTGGGAGGGGGTTGATTTGGGAGTTGTAGTTGCTGGGATTTATAGTTCACCTACAATCAAGGAGCATTCTGAACTCCACCAACAATGGAATTGAACCAAACTTGGCACACAGAACTCCCATGTAACAGAGAATACTAGAAGTGGGCATTGACCTTGAGTTTTGGAGTTGTAGTTCACCTACATCCAGAGAGTACTGGACTCAAACAATGATAGATCAGGACCAAACTTGGGAAGAATAATCAATATACCCAAATGTGAACACTGGTTGAGTTTGGGAAAAATAGACCTTGATATTTGGGAGTTGTAGTTGCTGGGATTTATAGTTCACCTACAATCAAAGAGCATTCTGAACCCCACCAGCGATAGAATTGGGCCAAACTTCCCACACAGAACCCCCATGACCCACAGAAAATACTGTCTTTTCTAATGGTCTTCAGTGACCCCTCTGACACCAACTCACGCCCCCCCCCCCCAATGTCCTGACCTCCAGGTTGAGAAACACTGGTCTTGAGGGCTCTGCTTGTATCAGGGTGATGTGGCTCAGAGTCCTGAATTGTGCCCCTTCAAGCTCCTTGGACAGCATGCAGGGGTGTCATACAGCCATCCTCAGAGGCATCTGTACCAACAACAAAGCCCCCTCTGTTGGGTTCCACATAAATACTTGAAGGTTCATGCTGCTGTCCTCCTGCCACCTCAATGCAGTTCCTTCCTTGCCAGGTTCCGGCGCTGCCTCATGAACCTCAATGATGCCATCTCCAACCTGATCGGTGCCAGCTTCTTCAACCTACTGGAAATCCCCTGTTTCGTGTTGGAGGAGAGTGAGGAGTGCATTGAGTGGCATTGGTGGGGCGGGTGAGTGTTCCGATGCGCCTTTGGGTTGGAAGCCTTTCCCATTCTTCCACCGGGGCATGGCTGAGAGTGGTGCCCAGCTGTGGGCGCCCTCTTTGCATCACGGAGCCTGGCTGAGAGGGCAGTGGGTGGCCTAGCTGTGATTGTCCTTCCCTCCCAGGTGCAAGGAATATGGCTCCGTGCCCTTGGCTCACTTGGTCCAGCAGAGCCATTACCAGTCCCTTACGCCAACCACCAAGCAGCCTAGGCTTGCCACCCAGCCATCCCGACATGGAAGGCGTCGACAGAAAGGCCGGAAGCAGAAGCTCCACTTGGAACCCAGTTCCGAACCAGATTGGCAACCCTCCCCAGCGGTCACAGCCTCAGGCCTGGCACCCAGATTTGGCACTCCGTTAGAACCAGACCAATTGAAGATGACAACAGCTGGCATTTTGCCAACGGAACCCCCTAAGGTCCAGAAAGAGGAGGCCACCTTGGATGCTGGGAGGCATAGTTCTGCTATCATCCCTGGGAGCCGAGGTGAGTGTCTGGCTACCCTTGGCAAGTGGACGCATTTCTGTTGGCACTGAGTTACCAGTGGGCACCCGTTTGGACTGATTTGGGGGCATATGGGGCAAGGATAGTGGGGAGAACGTTGGAAATGTGGGGCAAATAAAACCAGACATGGTTTGAAGGCAGGTGTTCTGGGACTGCTTAGCAAGGCCACACAAAGTGGCTGAAATAATAATAATGATAATAATATAATATAATTTGGACAAATAAAATCCAGAATTTGACAAGTTGGAGAAGTCATGGGCCAAAGAGAGGAAAGGGCAGCTGTAAATGTCAGAGCCTTGGAATAAATGGGAGGAAAGAGGATTTGATGGCCAGCTTGCAGGATTCCCCCAATTTTTTTGGCTTGTTGATGGAAAGATCTGTAGGGAACCATCAGTCCAATGTACCGAAGTCCCCTGGTATGATTTTCTCTGGATTCCTAAAGTCCATTTCCCTCCTCCCCTTGCACTTCTAACTGTTGTTGTTGTCTTGCTTGTCTCTAGACATGGCGCAAAGTTGCAGCTGCTACCGGCGCCTGGACCAGTGCCCTTACCGGATCGGGCCCCATGAGATCAAGTACCAGCTGCACAACATGGATTCCCGAACCCTCTTTCACTGCAATTGTACCCGCCGGTGAGTATCCCTGTTGCCAAGTATCACGCCAAGGCTGAGGAGGGTTTACTTTTTCAGAGGAGTTTCAGGCATCCCCAGGGGCACAAAATGGGCACACTATTCTATAGGATAAGCTTTCTTAGTGGTTGATGTGCCAGTCTTCCGCAGGATTTAGAATTTGGCACCTCCGTGGCATCCATCTCCAATAAAGGACTATGATGTTATTATGAGCTGGCCAAGCGATTGATGGGCATTCTCCTAACACAGGCCAGTTTTGATTTTGGTGCCTTTCTCCTTCCAGGCTTGCCCGCTTCATGCGTCGGATGAAGGGCCTCAATGAAGTGGAAGGGCAAGTCTTGTCCGACTATGTCTCCACCTCTTGCTTTGTCTTGGAGACTCCACCAGAATGTCAGAATGGCCAGCAGCAGCAGCCCAAGTGAGTACCAAGTGGCAGGACTGGTAAGGCAGCAACTGAGTTGGAGGGAGAAAGTTAGGTAGTGGAACCAGGTGCCGGACAGGCCTTGGGAAGCTAGTGTGCCTCCATAGCCTTTCAAGAGATGCCCACTCCAGATAAAGAGTCTGATTATATAGAACAACCAAGTCTTAAAATGCCCCTTTTCGTTGGCATCAGCCAGTGCAGGCTTCTAGCCACCGCCAGAGTTTTTTGGAATGGCATTTGAGGGCAAGCCATGTGTCAGAGGGGTCAACAAAGACCATCAGAAAACACAGTATTTTCTGTTGCTCATAGGGGTTCTGTGTGGGAAGTCTGGCCCAATTCTATCGCTGGTGGGGTTCAGAATGCTCTCTGATTGTAGTTGAACTATGAATCCCAGCAAATACAACTCCCAAATGCCAAGATCTATTTTCCCCAAACTCCACCAGTGTTCACATTCGGGCATATTGAGTATTCGTGCCAAGTTTGGTCCAGATCATTGTTTGAGTCCACCGTGCTCTCTGGATGTAGGTGAACTACAGCTTCAAAACTCAAGGTCAATGCCCACCAAACCCTTCCATAATTCTCTGTTGGTCATGGGATTTTTGCATGCCAAGATTGGTTCAATCCCATCGTTGGTGGAGTTCAGAATGCTCTTGTAGGTGAACTATAAATCCCAGGAACTACAACTCCCAAATAACAAAATCAGTACCCCTGCCAAACCCTACCAGTATTCAAATTTGGGCGTATTGGATATTTGTGCCAAATTTGGTCCAGTGAATGAAAATACATCCTGACTATATCAGATATTTACATTACAATTCTTAACGGTAGCAAAATTACAGTTAGGAAGTAGCAACAACATTAATTTTATGGTTGGGGGTCATCACAACATGGGGCTGCGGCATTAGGAGGGTTGAGAACCACTGTGTTTGAGTTTCCCAGAGCCAATCTCGATCTGTGCTTCTCTCTCACTTCCAGTTGCATTGGTGTTGGCAGAGCCCACCTGGCCCCCGCCCGGCACCTCACCAACCAGCTGACAGACAAGCTGTGGGGCAGCTCCCTCAAGGTGAAGCGTCAGGAACAGCGGGCCCCCGACCGACCCCTCCGGCTCTTCAGTAAATGTCGGCAGCTGGCACGAGCTGCCCGCCGTGCGGTGCCTCACCAAACCTAAGAAGATGTCTTGGTCTTCATTTGCTGGGATGCCATTGTGGCAAACCCTGGCACCTTCATGGACTGAGCCCCACGGGGACCCCCCTTTGAGGGCCGCTGCAGCTGAACCCTTTTGCCCATGGCACCGGTGGGCATAATAAGACAATCCCTTGTTGCGGACCAAGGGCTGCCCTCTCAAAATGAGCAGTCATTGCTTCTTGGACTTGGTGAAAACGAAGGGGGAGCAGAAGCTGGTGATGGGGGCAACTTGGAAGTTGGAGAGCCGCTTGTTTCCAGAAAGCCTATAACTCCTCAGCCTCTATGGCAGCTTGGCATATGTCAGTTGCTCACTGGTGCAGGTGGGTGAATGGGAAAGGAGGGCAAGCACAGACCAGGGTTGGCATCCAGCAGCACACCGTATGTTTGTTGGACTACAACTCCCAAAGTAGGCTGCCACCCAGCTGGAGAGCCTTATTATGCCCGCCCTGGTGTGCCCTTTGGGGCATTTCTAAATGTTACAACCCTCGCCAGTCTGGCAGAGGGTGCAGAATGCTGGGAGTTGTAGTCCAGCAGCAGAAGTGGCATGCCATTCCCACTCTTTTTGCAGAAGTCTTTTGTACCACTGTACTTTTCACTTCTGGTACGGAAAGCAGAGCGGGCACTCTGCGCTTTTTGAATAATTTATTAGGAGGAGGTCGAATGGTTGCCTTTTAGACAACAGAGCATTAAAAGCCTTTTTTGCACTGGGCATGACGTGATGTTTCAATGCTTTTGGGGGCAAGCTGTAGAACCAATGAAAAGAAAGGCGTCTGAGTCATCCGAACAATTATTATTAATATTAATAACTATCATTAATGTTAATATTATTAGAAGTAACAATATCCCATCTTCCTCTCTTCAAGACTCAAAGTGGCTGAATGATGTAGGTATATGGGATTTTTTTGACATTGGAAAGGGTAGTTCTAGAAATACAATAAATAAATAAATAAATACCTCCTTGCGCAAGATGCAGGCTGTGGTACACAACAAGGAGACAGGACCCACAGGTTTGTTGATGTTTTATTAGGACAGGAGGGGAAAGAGGTTGGACAGATTGCATCAACTCTGAACTCGTCCCAGCGAAGGTCGAGGATCTGTCAGTTTGGGGAGACCAGCCCCCCTCCTTCCCTTCCCCCCAGAATCCCCTTGGTAGCTTTCTTCCTCCTCCTCCTCCATTCCAAGGCACCTTGGCAAAGGTTTGACCCCCGGCTTCCTCTCCAACTCTCCTCTGACACTCTGCTTTAGCAGGAACCAGCCCTTTGCCACCCTCGGCATGCTGCCTGTGACATCTGCCAGCCTCCCTCTGGGAAGTGCTGTTGCACCCGCTCCAGAGCAACACAGCTGTGCCACCCTTGCCCCAGCTGCTGCATTGTCCTCTTGCCATCAAAATTGGGCCTTCCCGCCTCCAAATCATGCCCATCTCCCTGCCTCCCATTCAAAGCTTTCACGCCAAGTAGAAATGACTGACATCCCCTTGTGGCCTTTTCTGCTGTCCTTTGGTAATTTTCTTATTTCTTATTTTCGGCAGCTCTTCCTTATCTTTCTGGAGGAGGGGATGCCTTTTGCCACTCTTTCAACCCAAAAGGATAGGCAGGTGGCACTTGAGGGGATGGTGGGTAAGGAGGACTTCTGGGCAGAGGAGATCTGGTAGGCAAGTTGGGCAGTTGGCCAGGCAGGTGGTGGCAGCCCTCGCCCACCGGCAGCGGGTGAGAGAGATTGAGAAAGAGGCACGCGACTGAGCAGGGAAAGGGCAAGGTTGGCGGGGAACACTGCAAGCATTAGAAGGGTTGGACGATGGGTTTGCCACCCCTTTAGAATCCCATGGGGTCCCAGCCTTGGGGGCTCTGGGACCCAGCTTCCTGGGGTGAGCTGCCAAAGAGCGCTGCCAAGCTGGAGGTGGGGCTGGTGGGGCTCATCCGGCGGGCGGGCAAGGCCTGCTCGGCACTCTCCCGGCGGTGCTGGAGATGGTGGGTGCTCATGACCTGGTCGAGGGTCTCCAGCCGTACAGCCGGCAGCAGGCCCAGGTTGCGGGGGTCGGCCCGGGCCAAGGGGCTGTCCTCAAAGTGCCAGGCAGTGGTGGTGCCCGCTGGGGATTTGGATCGCCGGCGCCGCTGATGCCGGGGGCTGTCCTTGGAGAACTGGATGCTGGGGATCTCACCCTTGAGGCGGGTGGCACTGCTCCGGCGGCGGGCCTGAGGTGAGGGGCTGCGGCTGGCGCCCTTCTCCCGGCTGGCAGGGCGCAGAATCAGGCCCTGGAATTTGGCAAGGCTGGGGCTGCGGCTGCGGTGGCGGCTCATCTTGCCTGGACTAGGGCTGCGGGACTTGGGGCCCAGGAGCACCAGGGTGCTGTCATCCTCTTCCTCCTCCGATGTCGAGCTCGAACTGTCTGGTGGGCTGCTGCTGCCCGGGTCCAGTGAGGGCATCGAAATCTAAAGCGAGAAAGAAAGGGAGTCAAAGGGCTTTTATGTGACGGTGATCCAGTCGTTGTCACCTTTTGGAGCACAGTACTGCTCTCCACAGTGAGATTCACACTCAGCTCTTTCCTCTCTTGCCCGGCTTCGATCCCCATTCCCTAACTGTGCAACACTTGCCAGAACCCCCACCTTCCTTATCTCAGCTGCTTCGACCTTCCAAGTTCTAGTTGAAGGCACAAAATGGTAAAAACTCCTTAATTCAGCTTTTACCAAAAGCAGCACTTTACTTTATTTACACAAATATACATTCCATTCGGAGCCCCAGTGGCACAGTGGGCTAAACCACTGAGCTGCTGAACTTGCTAACCGAAAGATCGCAGGTTCAAATCCGGGAGCGGCTTTAGCTCCAGCTTCTGCCAACCTAACTGTTCAAAAACATGCAAATGTGAGTAGATCAATAGGTACCACTCCAACGGGAAAGTAATGGCACTCTATGCAGTCATGTTGGCCATTTAACCTTGGAGGTGTCTACGGACAATGCCGGTTCTTCAGCTTACAAATGGAGATGAGCACTAATCCCCAGAGTCGGACATGGCTGGACTTAATGTCAGGGGAAAAACTTTACTTTTGCTACATTCCATTCTCTGCTCATTCTCGATCACATCTTTCAAGCTGAGATAAGGAAGGTGATTTATCACAATTCTTTAACAGACAATATTGAAACAGCCATAAGCGGGCATTGCACATCACTGGTATGACGCCAGTGTAGCAAAATAAGAAATGTCGTTCTCCAAAGTGAGATTTGCTCTCAGATCAGCCCCAATAAACCCTCCGTCACCCTAGCGATAACCCCAAAAAACAATATACTCCAGTACTAAAACGGGGGGGGGGGGGACCTCCAAAATAACCCAACCAAAACATAACACTCCAAACACAAACGCACCCCCCCCCCCTTTCAGACATCATGCAACTCTTCTGACATTTTAGATTGGTGTAAGGTTTGCTCAAATATTTAAATCTAACTAGGTCAGGATCTGGTGGTTTGACATTTTTCCAAACACAAGACACCACATTTGCCCCCACTCTTGGACTGGGTGCATCTTTCACTCCAAGGTCCAAAAAAGGGCCTCTCACTTCTCTGCCATTTTCTCCTTTTTTTCAAACAGATTCTGTAGGGCATCCACAAAATGGCGCAATCGCACTCCAAGAAACGAAATACTTGAAAAATGCAGAGAGGAGAAAAGAATTGCTTTTCAAAGCTCAGTGTCACTTCAACAAACCAGATTCCCATCTAAGATCTGGCATTTTTCCCCAGAGAGCAGGGGAAACGCAAGGGCTTTGGATATGTCTCTGGCAGGGAAGAGGTGGCTTTGGATTGGCCTTGGCTACTGACCTGGAAGGGCTCGGTCACCCCCACCATGCAGCTGTAGTTGTTGCTGTAGTAGCCCAAGATGTAGTCGCCTTTCCCTTTGGGCAGGGACTCCTCCGGGAAGAGTAACTGGAAAGGCCGAAAGAGAAGTGCGGATTGACCCCATTCCCAGGAGGAGGGCAGAGCAAGCTTTGGAGGCGGCGCTCTCACTCTCAGATTGCTCCCTGAAAATGGGAAGAGAGGGTCCCGTCCCCAAGAAGGGCTGTGAGGTCCCCCTACCTGGAAGATGTTGCTTTCCATGTCTTCCTGCTTGGCCCAGACATAGGCAACATAGTCCTTATAATGCCGGAAGCCCACCTGAAGAGGAAAGTTTAAAAGAGAATTGGCTTTCCTATTTGGAAACACAGATCAAGCTCTTAGGGGGATTCTTCCTTTAAGGAGGTAGAAAAGGAACTGGTTCATTTCGCCTATTTTTATCTAGAAGGCGAGTGCAGAGCAGAGTGGAGGGTGAACCCTGGCACTAAAGGATATGGAGAGAAGGAGAAGGCTTACTTTGATATATCTATATCTATTTCCTACTTACTCGATAAAGGGCGATCCAGTCCCAGGAGCTGCGGTGATAAGTGGTCGAAACCTTGTACCGGATCACCGCTTGCTCCGGCTTCGTCCATTCGTCAGCCACTTGGATCTCCACCAGCGGTACCTCGGCTCTGGAAGCAAACTGCCGGAAAGAGAGGAGAGGAGAGGAAAGAGAAGGAAGGAAGGAAAGGAAAAAGATGGAGAAGGAAGACGGAGAGACAAGAAGGAAAATGCAGATGAGGAAAGGAGAGGAAAGAAGGAAAAAGAGACGAGTATTTAGAGAAAAGGGAAGGAAGAGAAGGATGGAGGGTGGGAATGGAGGGATGGTGGAAGGAAGGAGAAAGACAAGGAGAAATGTAAGGCCAGATGAGGAAAGGAGAAGAAGGAATGAAAAAGAGAAAGGTATGAGTGGATGAGAAAGTGGAAGGGAATTAAAAAGAAGAAGGAAGGAAGGAAAAAGGGTGCAGTAAATAAGAAAACCCAGTTGAGATTTCAAAATCAATTGGTGCTTGTAGTAAATAAGCCATTATGGTGGCGTGGTGGGTTAAACCACTGAGCTGCTGAACTTGCTGATCTAAAGGTTGCTGGTTCGAATCTGGGGAGCATGGTGAGCTCCCGCTGTTAGCCCCAGCTTCTACCAGCCTAACACTTCAAAAACATGCAAATATGAGTAGATCAATAGGTACTCCTCTGGTGGGAAGATAACAGCATTCCATGCAGTTATGCTGGCCACGTGACCTTGGAGGTGTCTACGGACAATGCCGGCTCTTTGGCTTAGAAATGGAGATGAGCACCAACCCGCAGAGTCGAACACGACTGGACATAACGTCAGGGGAAAACCTTTATCTTTACCTTAGGCCAGTGGTTCTCAACCTGGGGTCCCCAGATTTTTTTGGCCTACAACTCCCAGAAATCCCAGCCAGTTTACCAGCTGTTAGGATTTCTGGAAGTTGAAGGCCAAAAATACCTGGGGATCCCAGGTTGAGAACCACTGCCTTAGGCCATTATTATTATTATTATTATTATTATTATTATTATTATTATTATTAAAATCCTGCTTCTTCTCTGCCCAAGCAGCTCAAAGTGGCTAACACTAAAAAATCATACCCAAAGCATACGAACCTTAAAATACAATTAAACACAGGACTTCTTAAAAGAACATAATCAAAACCACTGAAAAATATGCTAAACTCCAGGAATCCCCTTAACGTACTCGATCCTGCCCTATCTTGGAAGCTAACCAGGGTTGAGCCTGGTTAGGACTTGGATGGGAGATGTTTGATGAACATCCTGAATGGTGATCCCTGTGGCTGTGGACTCACCTGGACAGCAAAGATGGAGACCACGGGCTTGTGGTCGCTGACAGTATATTCCATGTGGCTGCAATAGCAGAGCTGGGTGACACCCAAAACCCCGCAGGTGGACCTCCCCGAGTGGTGGGTGCTGGAGCCAGCTGAGGCCTTGATCTTCCACAGGATGCGGTCCGTCCAGGCCGGCTTCCGCTTCTTGGCGCTGCGGACAAGCAGAGGTTGTTTGTCCTCTTACCCAAAGCGCGCTGGAAAACGATCACTCCCAGGATTTTCTTCTGATGACCCCTTACCTAGTATCGTACATGTTGGTGCCCACGTCAAATTTGAAGGTCGGGGGGAAATTCAGGGGTCCTTCTTGGAAACCTTTCAAGATGGGCCAAGTGCTTTTCGCAATGTTCAGCTGCAATAGAAAGAAAGGAGAGACATACAGTCATGGCTGGGAGAAACTAGGGTCTGGTACGGTTTCCGAACCGAAACCAGAGACTTAGAGGGGACTTTTGGCAATGCCATGCAAGCACACACACAAAATAATAATCTTAGGGCAAAAGAAAATCTAGCTTTACTTGCTTGCTCGTTCACTTGCTTCTAGCTGGAAGTTGGCTGAGGAGAAGAGTGGAGGGTGAGGCCTGGACACTGGCAGCACAAGCAAAGCTGGGCCACTTTGCAAGCCGCATCCACAAAGAAACTCAGGGCCCTTTCACACAGCCATATAACCCAGAATATGAAGACAGAAAGTCTCACAAGATCTGCTTTGAACTGGGTTATCAGAGTCCACATTGCCATATATTCCAGTTCAAAGCAGATAATGTGGGATTTTATTCAGCTGTGTGGAAGGGGCCTCAGGGCCCTTCCACACGGCCCTATATCCCAGAATATCAAGGCAGAAAAACTCACAATATCTGCTTTGAACTGGGTTATCTGAGTCCACACTCAGATAATGTGGGATTTTCTGCCTTGATATTCTGGAATATAGGACTGTGTGGAAGGGCCCCCAGAGCTGTCAGTAGGAGCTGCTTTCCTATCCAAACAAAACTTACGCAGTAACTTTGGGCAGGTCACACTCTCTCAAACCCATCTTAGAGCAATTTGGTCAGGAAAATGCTATAATAGGGCTGGCATTAAGAACTTGAAGACCCTCACTGGCAACCCCCAGTCTCCCCAACGGCATGGAGAGGGTTTTTGGGAGTTGTAGTCCCCCCAAACTGTGCCCTCACCTGGTCCTTCTCCCAAAGCTGATGCAACATGTTGCTGTCAATGGCGTACTTCACAAAGCGGATGTCCAAGCTCTCGATGCGGAAATTGAGGTCCCCGAACCAAAAGACGAGGCTGGCAGGAAGGCAAAAGGGGGTGGGTAAGTCTTGCCAGGCAGCGGGGGACAGGCTGGCATATTCTCTCAAAGGGCGGCCTGGCATCGGCTGAGCCATAATGATAATGATAATAATAATAGTAATAATAATATGTTATTTCTAGACCGCCCTCTCTCCCCGAAGGGACTCAGGGCAGTTTACACACATAAAAAGGCAAGCATTCAATGCCTCGGGTGAGCCATGGATCTCAGGGGGGAATAGAGGTCAGTGCAGGACCAGCGGCTCTCCCAGCTGGCATTCTGCCCACTCCCCGGCTGATCCTAAATGAATTGAGTGCTTGGTGGGGTGGCAGCCGGCCAAGCGGACAGATCAAGGCCCCAGGCATCCCAAAGGTCAAAGGCAGTGTCCGTGCAAGCGGGCACGTGTATGGCCACCATGATCAAAGCGGCCTTTCCAAGCAGTGGAGCAGATGGGCAGCCCAAGGGAGGGATTGGCACTGATCCTGCAGTGGCCGATGATGCCACCCATGCCAAGGTGGGCATGATTCCGCTGCAGCTTTTAATCTGTGCCCTCCAAGGCAGGAAGGATTCTTCCTCAAAATAATTCCATGACTTTAAGGTCTGAGCTAAGAGCTAGAGCAGATCATCAATAGGTGCCAGAGTCATTATTATTATTATTACTATTTCTCGTGTTGATGAACCCTTTGGCAAATTACAACTCCCAAGGTTCCACAGCATGGAGCCCTGGCAGTTCAGATGATGTCATGCTGCAATCTCCCTGGGGAGATCAGGTGGAATACAAATAATAATAATAATAATAATAATAATAATTATTATTATTATTATTATTATTATTATTATTATTATTATTATTATTTCTTGTGTTGATGAACCCTTTGGCAAACTACAACTCCCAAGGTTTCATAGCAAGGAGCCCTGGCAGTTCAGAAAATATCAAACTGCATTCCCTTTGGGGAAATAGGGCAGAATACAAATAAAGTTTATTATTATTAGTAGTAGTACTATTTGTTCTCGTGTTGATGAACCCTTTGGCAAATTACAACTCCCAAGGTTCCATAGCATGGAGCCCTGGCAGTTCAGATGATGTCAAACTGCATTCCCCTTGCAGAGATCGGATGGAATGCAAATAAAGTTGTTGTTGTTGTTGTTGTTGTTGTTGTTGTTATTTCTCATGATGATGAACCCTTTAGCAAACTACAACTCCCAAGGTTTCATAGCAAGGAGCCCTGGCAGTTCAGATGATATCAAACTGCATTCCCCTTGGGGACATAGGGCAGAATACAAATAAAGTTGTTTATTATTATTATTGTTATTGTTCTTGTGTTGATGAACCCTTTGGCAAACTACAACTCTCAAGGTTCCATTGCAAAGAGCCCTGGAAGTTCAAATGATGTCAAATTGCATTCCCCTTGGGAAGATAGAATGGAATACAAATAAAGTTGATTAGTATTATTTGCATTTTGCAAAATTTGCATTCTGACGGCATCAATGCCACTAAGGGAGAGGGAAGGGCCTAGCAGTAAAGAGACTAGCCTTGGTTGGCACCAAGGTGCCAGGATCAGTCCCTGGCATCTTTCAGAAAGTGGACCTCAAGCAGCAAAGCCTGCGAAGTGATCACATTGCTTGGAAATGGTCCTTGTTTTGGGCGACAAGTCCCAGCCTCCCCACACTGGTATGGAGTTGTCATCCAAAACATGGCACATTTCTGGGCATTTATGTCCAACCTCTCCTCTTTAGGGCATTGCTATTCCCAGAATTTGCACACCCATCCCGTGTAGGTCACACTAGTTAATTCAATTGTTTCCGCTCTTTGCACCAAAAGGAACGGTGAGCCTTTGGGGAGAAAGCCATGCCCAAGCCAAGCCCGTGCCCCCAATGCTCAAGCCAAGCCCGTGCCCCCAATGCCCAAGTTGGCAAGCCAGACTCACTCGTGGTCCAGGATGCCGGTGGCTGAGGGCCCCTCAAACTGCTGGAGGTGGAGGATGGTGGTGAAGTCCTCCCGGCGTTGCTCAGCCTTCTCCATGTGGGCCGGAAGATGGCAGTTGAGGAAACATACCATGTGCCCAAAGATTGCCAGGCGCACGCTCACCCCGCCCTTGTTACCCTGCCACGGAGAGGGAGGCACAGTGTTCGGTTGCCAAACAGGGCCAAGGGAGACACTCTCCAAGGTCCTATCCCCTAGTCTCACCCGTCTCTCTTTTGCACGGATGGGCCATGTGTAAACCATGCCTGGCTCAGCTGCCCATGCCTGCAGGAGCACTCACCCAGTACCCGCCAAGTCCAGTCCTGGTGCAGTCGGTCTGGATGTCATGCAAGAAGGGCAGGTGGTAATACTTGGAAAAGACCATCAGGATGACCCCTTGCATCCGCACCGTGCTCACCTGGAACGGGAAGAGGGGGGGTGAGGTGGCCTTCAGAAACTACAACTCCCAGCATCCCATAGCACTGGGTCAGGGCAGTTCAAGCGGTGGGTCAAATCTTGCAAAGGGCAATGTTTAGTGGAGGGTAAAGACATTTGATGTATTTGCAATGAGCCCAAGAACGTCTCCATCATGGGCACAGGGAGTGTGGCATATTGCAGCTGCAGCCCCTAACTCAATAGGACATGATGATGGTGCCCTACATTTGGATTACCAAATGGGATGCCGCCAGAGACATGAGTGCCACGCCTCCGAGGGCAAAGCGGGCAGCCCCTCCTTCCTCCCAGCCCCAAGAAAGCGCTCTCGTCACCATGGCATTGCCATGGTGATGGGCGGGAAGTTATCAGCAGCAGGCGGGCGGGTTTCCGAGGTCATCCCGGCACACTTGGCAATGTGCAAGGCCAGCTGTGCCAGCTTCCAAAAACCAGGGCAGGGACTCCGCTTTGGCTTTTTGTCCAAATTCCAAAGTGTGGATATACCTCTTTCAAATAGGTCCAGCCCCTGCAAACCTTGGGAAGAAGAGTGCCCAAAAAAATGCCCCCGAAGAAGGACTAACTGTTTGGTGAAATGGCATTTGTGAAAGATGAAGAAGGCCGGTGGAAGTCTGTTTCAAAGTAGTACCTTGACTGCAAGAGGTTTGCCAGTTCCATCCCTTTGGTGCCAGGCATGTGGGGCACCAATCAGCCCTGGCACTGTCTTTTTCTTTCCCTTTCTGCCACTTCTTGGCTATGCCTTTCTAGATGCTTACCAGGACAAAGTTAAAGGGGCTCAGGACCTCCATGAAGAGCTCGCTCCACTGGTCGGTGAAGAGGGCATCCTTCAGCCGCTTGTTGATCATGGAGTTCACCTCTTGCAGCCTGCCAAGAAATAGACAATCCCCCATTAGCAGGGCCGGGCAAAGAACGGGCACACGTGCCCCTTTCTCAATGGCTCCAGAGGGAAAAAACAGGATTGGTTTGGCAGCCTTGTCAAATAATAACAATAATAATAAAAACATGTCAATTCCCACCCCCACTGCCAAAGATCAGCACAGACTCACACCCACAAGACACATGCTTCAGACGCCCCCAGCTTGGCATCCGCTTGGCAAAGAGATTGGTTGGGAGGCTGGTTAAAGATTGTGGGGAAAGTGAATGGTCGGATAATAAAAACCCGAACTCAGCAGCATTTCAACTGTCAAGCTCGAGGCACCATGAGGTCCTTCCTACGTATGCATTCATGCTCTCCGATGCCAACGACAAGATGTCCATGCCCAGGCACAGACTTTGTGTTGAAGAATGCAGGATAAGGCTTCATATGGGATCATGGCACGCTTTTCCCATCATGTCCCATATCCCAAGATCCTTCTAAACTGACTGGCAAGGGTCGTCTATACATGCACAGAGAGCATTTTGCCCAGTAAGAATAAGTGAGGTTTGAGAAATGGGGAAGATGGCAGCACAGCCAAAAATATCTTCGGAAGGCAGACACACAGACAGACTTCTGAGATGAAATATAAAGGAAGGGTGGCATCCCCCTTACCCAATGGCAATCATGTCCGTGTCGTTGGAGTCCCCCGTGTTGAGATGGAGGAGGGAGGTCACGTCACCAGGGGGCATGGCAGTCCCAACGTTCCAGGAGACCACAGTGATCCTGCAAAGAAACACAGGGCATTGACAGTCAGTGGGCATTGCCCAGCCAAATGGGAGAAGGAAGGAAACGCCTCTCCATTTTGGGGGAGGAGGATGGTTGGCATACAACATTGTCAGCAAAACTGGGCATACAGACAGCACAAGTACCCGGGAAAATGGATATTGCCTCCAGGTATTGTGGTTCCCCAAGGAACCACCCAGCCAAATGATCAAGGCTGGATGCCCAATGAGGACCAGGGCGCTGTTTTGGGGGTCCACACTGACCCCAAGACACATATTCTGGAAGTCATGGTATGGATGGGCAAGAATATAAAACCCTCCCAAAGTCATTGGCAACAGGCTGAGAAAGGCGGTATACAAATACAGTAAATAAATAAATTGGCATGCCCATGCATTGGATTTTGTGTGTGCGTGTGTGTCAGGAGCGACTTGAGAATCTGCAAGTTGCTTCTGGTGTGAGAGAACTAGCTGTCTGTAAGGACATTGCCCAGGGGATGCCCTGATGTTTTGATGTTTTACCATCCTTGTGGGAGGCTTCTCTCATGTCCCCCACATGGGAAGCTGGAGCTGACAGCTCATCCGCACTTTCCCCAGATTCGAATGTCTGACCTGTCGGTCTTCAGTCCTGCCGGCACAGGGGTTTAACCTATGCATCACCGGGATGAGACTAGTAGTAACCCAGTTACTCAGTTTAGGAACACCGGAGAAGAAGAAGACTCACGCCAGATCTTTGGGTCCTTAACCGATATGAGGCCCTAGATGCCACTGTTCCTGACTGCATGCCACCCAAAAGTATGCCCTGTTCGCCACCTGAACTGACAGACGGAAACTCATCGTACCCATCAGTTTCTTTTCCCACCTCCCACGGCTGCCTCCAAGTCAACTGTCTGCCTTGGAAGATATAGAAAAAAAAACCCACACACAATGCCAGGCCATTCACATTTCGCCGTTGCACTGACCCAACCTGCACAAGACTCTTGGCTGCCTTTAGGGGCACAGAAGAACTTCAAGTGCCATGCGAGTTGAGTTTGGGTCCCATAACAGTGCACAGACCCCTCTCACCCTTTGTCCCGGGTGGCGCAATGCCCTAGGCATCCTGTCCAGCTTCCATGCCCCTACGTTTCCACTCTTTGACGTTCAAACTCTCAGAGCCCCAAGGTGCCCGAAATTCCCCCTGGCAGATTTTGCCTTGGCAAGGAAAATAGAGATCTGGAGTTAAGTGTGCTGATGGCATAAAAAAGAGGTTTCCAAAATGGGCACAATGGACAGTACATTATGCCTGAGTGCCTTTCAAAAGACCATTCCGGTGTGCGTGCAGTTCAGAATCTAAGAAAGGAAACAAGCGGGTGGCATTGATGGGGCAAATGGGTTGGGTTTTATTAAATAGTCAAGGAATGTTTCCTTCATCCCAGACTATTTGCTTGACACAATATACAGCATTTCCCTCCACTCTTGCAACGGGTTTCTTTTCCATTCCCTCCTTCTTCTCCTTCTTCCTTTTAGAAAAATTAGAATGCTAGAGCGCATCTGCAAAAGGGTGCGAGTGCGCTCCCTGACAAAAAAAAATGGAACAATTCCGAGACGATCACAAACTGCTTTTCAAGGCTGAGTGTCACTTCAAAGAAACCGTCTTTCTATTTTTTAACAAACTCGGGAAGAAACTTGAATCGTGCCCTAGAAATGGCAACAAAGAGCCCTCCCAAATGATAGGAAAGGTAGATGCAGAAAATGCCAACCACTTGGAAATGCCAATGAGTTACATTGCTAGGATTCAAGCTCATCCAAAAGCAAAGAAGCAATTCACTCCCTTATGTGCCACCCTTTTGACCTACCCTGCAGGGTCGTCGTAACCATGACCGTGCCAAAGCCGGCTTAGAGCTCGTACAATGTGATAAAGATGCCAGCTACTATTACTATGATTGCCCATGCCTGGCAGGAAGGTTTTTCCTCTCTCCCTTCAATTGCTTGGCAGGAGCCCCAGAAGAGATGCCAGCTGTTGGGAGCACACTGGCCTGGCGCTCGGGCGATAAATCTCAGGACATTAACGCAATTAAACCGTACGCCTCGGAAAGAGCCAGCTGGCACCGGGGGCAGGCAAAGGCTCACCTCAGGGGCTGGTCGAATGGGCAAGGAGAGAACGTGCCCACAGCATAAGGCTGGAGTGGGCATCTTTGGGGGCACACAGAGAGACAGCAAAAGAAGATCCAAGGCAAGTTCTGGTTGGCAGTCCACTTGTGGAGCGAACTTGGGAGTCAGTTACCGCATGCCAACATATCCCCTTGGCAAAGTCTGGATTATCCATAGACCTTGACTTTGAAAGAGAAGCAGGCTTTAGATGGCAGCAGATGGCATGCCGTTATCCCAAAGGGAAAACAGGCGTGCAGTGCCAACCATGGGATAGTAGCGCCACTCTAGGGTTTAGAGTCACTCTTAGGGGCACTTTCCAAGTTGGCAAACCCTGTTTGGGCATAGATTTCAGCCCACATTGAAACTATTGGTGGGGGAGCGAGCAGCACCAAGCTGGGCACTTTCTTTGGTGCCAGGCATTTCAGCACCATGGATAGGACCTTTGGTTTTGTGTGTGTGGCATTGCCCTTGGCACCTTGGAGAGCACCCCGAAGCGATCAAAAACTGGGCAGCAACTTTGGTCTTGCTTTGAGTGCCTGGGCTTTAAAGTTCGGATTAAAAATCAAAGCAGATTCAGTGCCAAGGGTGCCACTTTTAACCACTTTGCACTTTCTCCATTGCGATAGAAACAGACACGGCTTCAAAACCAGGACAGAATGTGGCCTGTTTCCTTGCGGCGGTTATTACAAATATCTATCAAGACAGGATCGGCAAACTGCTCTCTTTCCAGAGGATCCTTAAAGGCTCTCTTACATAATGCCCTGGCAGCCCTTCGCCACCAATAAACGGCCTCCATAGGAACTTACTTAGGAGTAAGTACGGAGACGTTTATCGCCTCAGTCAGGAAGGCGGCCAACTGCAAGAGTAAAGCAGGCCAAGAGCCAAGATCCTGTCTGAGCCTGGATGCTAAACAGGGGCAGGCCTGGTTGGGACAAAGATGGGAAACCACCGAGGAAGGAAAGAAATTAATGGGGTTGCCCTAAGTTGATCAGGCACTCGCATTGATATTAAAGAGTGCAAAGCCCCGAATAGCCCAAAAGCACCAGACTTTGGCTGATCATGGAAACTGAGCAGGGACTTGGAAACTAAGCACAGTCTGATTAGGACTCGGATGGGAGACCCAGCAACGGGTACCAGAGGAAATCTGAACACCAATAATTGGGAATATATTTTCCACTCTACCAGTTGACAAGGTGCCCACCTCCCCTGCTATTTCATGGGCAACCAAACCAGTACAAAGCCCAGTCCAAAGTTTCCTAGAACTTCACATTGACAAAATATATCTAAAATTGTTTCATCAAAGAGTAATCCTCATCAATCCTTGAAGCGCCCCACTGGAAAGCTCAGTCCTCTTCAGTGCAGCATTGGAAGGTCCCTAGTAGGGCATGCCGAGTTCCTCACCCAAACAACAAACCATGGCATTTAACCAAGGATAGGGAAGCAGGTGAAAGTGCAAGTAATGATGCCAAGCAAGTATGTGGTTTGAGATCCCTCCCCCCACCAAAAAACAAGTGCCATGGCTCACCGAAACTCATCCTCTGGCTTGGCCTGGGCCTTACCAAGGGGCACCAGGAAGCGCTCTTTGCTGTGCTGAAAGCTGCTGCTGAGGTCCTGGGACTTGGGCGAGTGGCGCACGCGGGCACAGGACACCACTTCCTCCGACTCAGCTTTGGTTAGCAAGGAGGCCTTGGAGGTGGCCGGGCGCCCAGTACAAAGGTACTCACTGGAGACGGCTTTGGGCAAGGAGGGTGGGCGCTGGGCCGAGGCCGAGCGGCTCAGGCAGATGTGGTCACTGGACTCAGCTTTGGGCAGTGTGTCTTTGAGTTCTGAGGCTGGGATGCCAGAGGAAACCGGCTCCAAGGAGCACAGCTCAGGCAGCATGCCCCGGCTGGGCGACTGGCTGAGTTTCATGGAGGAGAGGGATGAGCTGCCCGAAGCCGGGGACAAAGGGCGCAGCTCTACGGGCGAGCGCAAGGTCGGAGTGCTATAGGCCGGGGTGGCACCCTCAGGCGGTGTCCGGCTGATGTCCAAAGAAAGTGGCGGGTTGGCGCGACCTGGGGAGCGCTCCTGGTGTGAGCCTTCTGGCTGTGCCCGTGAGTGGAAAGCATCGAAGAGGGAATCGGGCCGAGCGACACTGGACACAGAGCCCCCGGGATACAGAGCCTGGTTTGTGCCCTCTGGCTGGAAGCGGCCATCTGAGGAGAACTGGTTGGAGCCAGGTGAGAAGAGCACCGGTGATGTCAAACCAGTGAGGCTGCCCCGCGGCGAGACAGGCTGGGAGCCAACGGGGGAGGTCGGGCCTTGGTCCACATTGGCACGGGGGCTTGACTCCATCTGGGCAGAAGGAAGACAGACAAGACTGAGTTGGGGGCAGGAAGGATGCAAAGGCATGTCAGCTGTGCCCGCATCAGCATTCAAAGCCCTGAGCCAATGTGTGCACCCCCCGTCAAGACAGAGAATTGGTGCCCATGCCAAAGTTAGGTATTCAAACCCTGAGCCACTGTGCCACCCTCAAACCAAGGTGGGCATCCTGATGCTTTGCCTCCCGCCCCCAGGGAGCCAGTTCTTCCCTTGTGGTCTCCCCTGGCATGGGAATGCCCCAACCCTCCTGCCGACCCGGTACCAGGATCCATCCCATCTGAAAGCATTCAAACTCTTCGTCAGACGTGTCGCTTTCCATGCTGCCATGCCCAGAGTCTCCTGGTTGGAAGCCCTTTCCATTCTCCAACAGCCGTGGAACCTTGGCACCAGAGGTTCTCTGCCCTTCGGAAGGAAGAAGCTGACACTTGGTGGGCAGATCTAATACCCACCAGGGTCTTTTGGCGGCAAAGAAAGGAGGTACCAACACAGAATGGCTCCACCCAGGCCAGGACCCAAAGGGGCATTGCTGGCCACCCTGTTAAAGATGCAATCTTCACAATCAGACTACTTCCTGCCCCAGTTTCCTTTCTCTCAATCACAGAGGGCATCCTTTCGTCCTTCCCCGCCTCGCTAACCGTCCTGCTCTGGTGCCCTTCACTGCCTCCTTCTCCCACTTTAGCTTCATTGGCTCAGAAATGCTGAGCAAAGGGTGTCCCCTTCCCTTTTCCCCAGGCAAGCCTTGGCCTTTACCTCTCCCACCTGGGCACACCTCTAATCCCTCCCAAGTGCCAGGTAGACGCTCCTGGTGCCACCCCCACAGGGCCTTTTCCAGGGGAGGGACAGGCAGCAGCCAAGAGCCAGTGACAGGCGAGCCTGGCACTTGCTTTCCTCAACGCCAGCGAGGGGGAGGTGTTGCCTCAGTCGTGCCAGACGCAACCTGAGAAGCCCTGGGCACCCAGCTCAGGTGGCAGACGAGAGCAGCCAGGCTCAATGGGAGGCGAAGGGCACAGAGGGACAAGGAAAGGAGACCCTGGTGGGTGCCCACAAAGCAAGGAAACACCTCAAGGGCATCAAGTCGAACCCACTCACACACATACACACATACCCTGATGCCAAGTCTTGCCTTGGAGACTTAAAATAGCTTGGTGGGGACAGGTCTCCGGGTGTTGGGTGGCTAATGCTATCCATTCTTTCTAGTGAAGGATGCTGGGACTTGGGAATGCAACTACCTCTTAGGTTTTGCCTGCAGTGCCAACGTGAGCCATCACTGGATTGGTTTGGGGATGCTGGGGTCTGTAGTATGTGGGGTTAGCAAAAGAAGCAGAGGCAGGATGGGCATGCAAGTGGCGGGACTGCAACTGCCAGCCTCCCCTGGGCAAGGCTGGCTGGGAGTTGCAGTCCATGTGCATCTGATGGGGGAGGGTTGGTCCCTAAGTATCAAACTACAACTCCCAAGCACCGCTGCAGGTGGGAGTTGTAGTGCACCTCCTAGATGTCCTGCAGGCCAATTTCCCAGCTGGGGAGACTGAGGCCAGGGGGAGAGAGCCCTCCCAGAGGAGCCTGCACCCCTTTAACCCTGCCTCACCTTCCTGCGTCCCTCAGGGGCCCCGGAAGAGGCGGCTCGGGGGGCCCGGGGCTGGCCATGCCTCCGGCTCCGGCTGCTGCTGCTGGACAGCGGCTCCATCCTTCTCTTCCCTCAGTGCTCCTGGTCCTGATGATGCTGATGCTGCTGCCGGGGAGGCGCTGGCGTCATCCGCTCCCCCCCCCCCCCCAGGATTTAAAGGCACAGCCACCCAGCAGACTGGCAATCCTCCTCCTCCTCTTCCTCCTTTGATCCTCAAAGCAGGGTTCCTCTGGTTGCCTTGGCGTCTCTTGCCTCCCCCCCGCCCCAGCAAGGTGCTAGTCCTCAGGAAGAGCAGGCAGCAGCTGCTTCTTCTTCTTCTTCTTCTTCTTCTTCTTTTCTTCTTTCTTCTTCTTCTTCTTCTCTTTCTTCACCTCCTCCTCTCCATCCTTCTACTCCTTCCTCCTCGTCTTCCTCTTCCTCCTCCTTCTTCCTCCTCCTTCCTCCTTCTCCTCCTCCTTCCTGCTTCTTCCACTCTTCTTTCCACCCCTGGTTCATTTTGATCCAGAGAGTCACAGTTTTTCTACCTCTCCTCTTCCTTGTCAAGATTTCTCAGTGTGAATATTCTCTTTGCTCCTTCTCCTCCTTCTTTCTTTTTCCCTTTCTCAACCTTCTCTCCCTCTTTCTCTCCTTCTTTCACTCCTTCATTCATTTCCTTTTCTTCTTTCCTTTCTTCCTTCTCTACCTGTTTACTTCCTCTTCTTCAGTTTCCTACTCTCCTTCTCCTTCCACTTCTTTCTTTTCCTACTTTCCTGCTCCTCCCTCTCATCCTCCTCCTCCTCCTTCCACCTCTTCCTTTTCCTCCTCCTTTTCTTCTTCCTCCTCCACCACCTCTTCTTCTTCCTTTGCCTCTTCTTCACTTTCCTACTCTCCTCATTTTTCCACCTCTTCCAGTTTCCCCTCCTTTTCTTCTTCTTCCTTGACCACATTTCTCTTCCTCTTCTTCAGTTTCCTTCTTCTTCCACCTCTTCCTTTTCCTACTTTCCTCCTCCCCCTCTTCTTCTCCTTCTTCTCCTCCTCCTTCTTTTTCTTCTTCCACTTGACTAAGTGTGGAATTGTTAGCCGTCTTGAGTCCCCACTGGGAGAAAGGTGGGGTATAAATAAAGATGATGATGATGATAACAATAATAATAATTCCACCTCTTCCTTTTCCTTTTCCTCTTCTCTTCCAGCTCTTCCTTTCCTTCTTCATCTTCACTTTTCTCCTCCTCCTTTTCTTCTTCTTCTTCACTTTCCTCTTCCTAATTCTTCCTTCCTCTTCCTCTTCTCTCTCTCCTTCTCCTCCTCTTTCCTTTCTTTCAAAGCAAGGTATTAAACCTCAGAACCCTCTGGCTTCTTTTCTTTTTCCAACTTTTCTTTAATTTCTGTCCCTTCACTTGATGCCGGCAATAGCTTGGCTTTCTTCCCTTCTTTTCTGTTCCTAAGTAAGTTTCTAGTCCTTATCAAGCATGGGCAGCTTCTTGCTCCTCCATCCCTTTTCTGTCAAAGCAAGTCTTTAGTCCTCATGAAGCCCAGGCGGGGTTTACTGCTGTTGTTTCTTCTTCTTCTTCTTCTTCTTCTTCTTCTTCTTCTTCTTCTTCTTCTTCTTCTTCTTCTTCTTCTTCCTCCTCCTCCTCCTCCTCCTCTTCTCCTTTTTCTCTTCTTTTTCTCTTGCCTTCTTTCCAAAGCCCATGTCTTGTCTTTGTGAACCTTGGGCATCTTTCTGTGTCCTTTCCCCCTTCCTTTGATTTCTTTTGTTCTTTCAATACTTCCTTCTCTTCCATTTCCCCCTCAATGCAAGTGTCTAGTGCCACTTAGATGCCAAAAGTCCTCACCTGGAACTTTGGTTTTCCCCTTGCTCACTTGCTGCTCAATTTGACTACAAATTGGCACCAAGGACCCTTCTTCTCTGCTTACTATTCTGGCATCTCTGCCAAAGCCTGCGAGAGGGCATCTTGAAACGTATGGGGCCAGTCAACGCTGGCAGGCAGATTGGCATCTGCTTGGCACCATCGGAAAAGGTGCCACCACTTGGTGTTTGGTGTCTTTCGAATAGGGGGGTGCTGCAAATCGGAAGCCAGTCTTTGTTTCGCCTTTTAAACACTCTTACGCCATGAAGATCGGATCCTGCCATGGGCACATTGGTTTCCGAGTCCAATGCTTTGAATGACAGCCAGCACTTCTACATGAAGAAAGGTGGCACAACCTCCAAACCAATAGTTACTTTGCACCCTTGTGACAACTCTGGGTGTTTGGGTCTGGTAGGATGCCAATCTGTGCCCACAAATACTTTGCGGACATTGGGCATCTATAAGATAATAATAAATATAATCAAAAATATAATAAAGATGATCCTAAAGATTACAAAACAAATATAATAAAGCCAATCATAAAGATGTAATAAGTACACTAATATAATAAAGATATTAATAAACATAACAATAAAGATACTACAGATATTATAATCATAAAGATATAATAATAAAGATAATGATCAATATAGCAATCAATATAACCAATATAATAATAAAGATATAATAATAATAAATATAATAATAATATGATCATCATTTTGTTACCCATGATGCTGTCGTGATGCCACGTTGCCATGGGGCACCATGTTGCCCGGGTTTCGTTTCCGGAAAAGGGGCACCCTCTATTGAAAAGGCCGGATGCGCCCACGTGTGTGCCCACCCAGAGCGAACCATGACTCAGAGAAGAGAATGCCCCCCACTGCCATCCCTTCGCCTGGCATCGCCAAAGCCTGCCATCTTCCCTGTAACTCACAGATCCCCATTAGCACTGAAATCCCCCACACATTTTTCTTTTTTTTAACATGACTCATCCCTTTTTCTTTTCTTTTTTGGTTGGCTGCCAAGCTGGGAGTCCTGATGGAGTTTATTATTATCAGTGTTATTATTAGACAGCAAGCACTCGCTCGGCATCAATGGAGCATGTCACGGTTGTATGGCAGAGGAGGTGCCAACTTGGACTGGGCTGTGGAGGGATGCGAGCCCAGAGGTGCCAAGTTGGACCGAAAAGGGTTGAAAGTGGATCCCAAACCGTTTTGCATCTAAGAAGGGGCAAGGAGAGGCTGGTAATAAATGTGTTAATAATAATAATCATTTATTGTATATTATTGTTGTTGTTGTTGTTGTTGTCTAAGAAGGGGTGAGAAGAAATGGGTAATGCAATTATTTATTTATTTATTTATTTCTTGTTGAGACAGAATAAAACAAAAGCTACATACAAAGTTACAAAAACAATACCAACACCAAAAGATTAAAAATACTTTCTCAAGAATTATATGATGACACGCTAAACATAAAAAAAAACCAATACTAACTATAAACAATCTATGTTCTCTAATCAAAGGGCTTTACATTCTCTGTCTGGTGGATATATTCAGTTTTCTGCACCCATTTAGTGAAAAGGAACCATTGGTACACCCTTTCCCCCATCTTTTTCAGGAGAAATCGTTGAGTTTTTCCATCTTTGAGCAGAGAGCATTCTTGCTGCTGTTATCATGTATAGCAATAATCTTCCAACTTTTCTATTGAGTTGTTCATCTAACATCTAACATATTGCTGTTGTTGTTATTGTTGTTATTATGGTCTAAGAAGGGGCAGGCAAGGAGAAGCGGGTAATACAATTATTATTATTATTATTATTATTATTATTATTATTATTATTATTATTACCACCACTGGGTTAAATTTTAAATGCCAGGAGCTCTCGAAGGTACTGAATTAGAGCCTTAAAAACAGGTTCAACACCATGGAGAGATCTTGTTTTGCCCACCTGTTTGATTATCTCTCTTTATGTATTCCTCTATTTTTCTTTGTAAACCCCCCCCGGTGAATCTGTAGGCCAACCGGTGTCACTCCACATTATTCATTCAACAGGCCATTTTCAAATTCAAAAACTTTGTCTCTCTATAGTTTTTGCCCACTGGTTGGTTTCGTTGTCCACGATTTTGGGGTTTTTTGGTTGGGTGCTGTGTTCTAATCTTGTGGCTTTGGACTTCAGAGGCCTGGGATGGAATCCAAGCTCAGTCACACTCTCTCAGCCTGAAAGGAAAGCCAAGGCAAAGCTCCTCCAAACCTGTAGGAAAGGGGCTCTCTGGGACTCCTAGTCCCAGGAGTCCCCCAAATAGTAGAGTTTGGGGAAGTTATTTTTTTGGACTGCCGATGTCAGAATCCACTGCAAGAGACTCCAGTGCCCATTATCCCCAGGTATGACAGACTTTAATTCTCATTATCCCCAGGGAAGGGCAGACATCAGGAAAGGGCCTTCCTTAGACTCTAGATCCCATCATCCTTAGAAATGGGCAGATGTCAGGAAATGTGCCTTCTTGATTCTAGATTCCATCATCCCTGGGAAAGCGGCCTCGCCAGATGCTAGAGCACATCACCCTCAGGGAAGGGGCCTCCTTGACTAGATTTCAATGTCCCAAGGGAATAGGGCCTCCTGAACTCTAGATCTCATCTTCCCCAGGAAAGGGAGGGGTCCGGGATACACTCTAAATCCCATCATCCCCAGGAAAGGAAAGGCCCCAGGATTGTCTCTAGATCCCATCATCACCAGAAAAGGTGCCTCCTGGCACTCTAGATCCCATCATCCCCAAGAAAGGAAAGGGCCCAGGATAGTCTCTAGATCCCATCATCACCGGAAATGGTGCCTCCTGGCACTCTAGATCTCATCATCCTCAGGAAAGGGAAGGGGCCGGGAATACTCTAGAAACTATCATCCCCAGGAAAGTTGCATCATTGCACTCTAGATCCCAACATGCCCAGTATACTCTAGATCCCATCATCCCCAGAAAAGGCGCATCCTTGCATTCTAGATCCCATCATCCCCAGGAAAGTCACCTTTTTGCACTCTTGATATCATTATCCCCAGGGAAAGGAAGGGGCCAGGATGCTCTAGATCCCATCATCCCCAGAAAAGGCGCATCCCTGCATTCTAGATCCATCATCCCCAGGAAAGGGAAAGGGAAAGGGCCAGGATAGACTCTAGATCCCATCATCCCAGGGGTCTGGAATACTCTAGAACCCATCATCCCCAGAAAAGGGAAGGGCCCAGGATACTCTAAATCCCATCATCACCAGAAAAGGCTCATCCCTGCATTCTAGATCCCATCATCCCCAGAAAATGTGCATCCTTGCATTCTACAACCTATCACCCCCAGGAAAGGCGCCTCCTTGCACTCTAGATCCCATCATCTCCAGGAAAGGGAAGTGGCTGGGATAGACTCTAGATCCTATAATCCCCAGAAAAGATGCATCCTTGCATTCTAGATCCCATCATCCCCAGGAAAGTTGCCTCCTTGCACTCTTGATTCCATCATGCCCCAGGGAAGGGAAAGGCCCAGGATAGTTTAGGTACCATCATCCCCAGGAAAGGGAAGGGGCCAGGATAGACTCTAGATCCCATCATCCCCAAGAAGGCCACCTCCTTGCACTCTAGATCCCATCATCCCAAGGAAGGGAAGGGTCCGGGATATTCTAGTAGCCATCATCCCCGAAAAGGGAAGGGCCCAGGATACTCTAGAGCCCATTGTCCCAAGGAAGGGAAGGGTCTGGGATACTCTAGTACCCATCATCCCCGAAAAGGGAAGCGCCAAGGATACTCCAGATCCCATCATTCCCAAAAAAGGCACCTACTTGCATTCTAAATCCCATTAACTCCAGGAATGGGAAAGGCTCAGGATAGACTCTAGAACCCATAAGCCCCAGGAAAAGTGCCTCCTTGCCCTCTAGATCCCATCATCCCCAGGAAAGGGAAGGGGTCAGGAAAGACCCTAGATTTCATCACCCCCAGGAAAGGCACCTCCTTGCACTCTAGATCCCATCATTCCCAGGAAAAGGAAGGGGTCAGGATATACTCTAGATCCCATCACCCCAGGAAAGGAACTCCTTGCATTCTACAACCCGTCATCCCCAGGAAAGCCGCCTCCTTGCATACTAGATCCCATCATCTTCAGGAAAGGGAAGGGGCTGGGATAGAGTCTAGATCCTATCATCCCCAGAAAAGGTGCATCCTTGCATTCTAGATCCCATCATCCCCAGGAAACTTGCCTCCTTGCACCCTTAATCCCATCATACCACAGGGAAGGGAAGGGGCCGGGATACTCTAGATCGAAACCATGATCCCCAGGAAAGGCGTATCCCTGCATTCTAGATCCCTCATCCCCAAGAAAGGGAGAGGGTCAGGATAGACTCTAGATCCCATCATCCCCAAGAAAGTCACCTTCTTGCACTCTTGATCCTATCATACCCCAGGGAAGGGAAAGGCCCAGGATAGTCTAGATCCCATCATCCACAGAAAAGGCGCATCCCTGCAATCTAGATACCATCATCCCTAGGAAAAGGAAGGGGCCGGGATACTCTACATCCCATCAACCCCAAGAAAGGTGCCTCCTTGCACTCTAGATCCTATCATCCTAGGGAAGGGAAGGATCTGGGATAGACTCTAGATCCTATCGTCTCCAGAAAATGGTATCTAGATGGCACTCTAGATCTCATCATCCCCAGGGAGGGAAAGGGCTCAGAATACTCTAGATCCCATCCTCCCCAGGAAAGGTGACTCCTTGCACTCTAGATTCCATCATATCCGAGGGAAGGGAAGGGGCCGGGATAGACTCTAAATCCCATCCTCCCCAGCAAAGTGAAGGGCCTGGGATAGACTTTAGATCGCATCATCACCAGAAAATGGTGCCTCCTTGCATTCTAGATTCCATCATCCCCAGGAAAGGGAAGGACCCAGGATAGACTCTACATACCATCATCCCCAGGAAATATGCCTCCTTGCACTCTAAATCCCATCATCCCCAGGAATGATGGCAGGATGGACTCTAGATCCCATCATCGCCTGGGAAGGGAAGGGCCCGGGACAGACTCTAGACCCCATCAACCACAGGAAAGTCACCTCCTTGCACTATAGATCCCATGATCCTCAGGAAAGGGAAGGGGTCACATAGACTCTAGATCCTTTCACCCCCAGGAACAGGCTTCCTTGCACTCTACACCCCATCACCCCAAGGAAAGGCGCCTCCTTGCACTCTAGACCACACCATCCCCAGGAAAGGGAAGGACCAGGATAGACTCTAGATCCCATCATCCCCAGAAAAGGTGCATCTGATGGCGAGCCCGCCCGAGGCCCCTGCTTTCCAGCTGATCTGACCAGCTGCTGGGAGTTCCGCAGTTCCTGGATGCCCTGTTGAGCCAACTTTGATGAAATGTGCCCTAGCAGCAGGCTCAACCAAGGACTCTCTGCAACCTTGAGCTCTCTCCTTTTGCTTTTCTCCACATCCCAAACATTGTAACAAACCCCTAATAAAGACTAATTGAATTGCCACCCATCAAAGACAATAAGCTGGCCGGCTAGAAGGCCCCCGAGGACTCGCCGGCCATCTGGACACTACATATCTACATAATCCACTCAAGAATTCATTGTTTCCCTCTCGTCCCACCTCCCTCTCTCCTGATTGGCCAGGAAGCCAAGGCAGCAGAAGCTCATCAATTGGCCAAGGCACTCAGGAGGCGGCCAAGCCTCCTCCCAGCTGTTGAGCGCCAGCCAATCATCACCGAGCCGGAAGAGGGGTGGGGAGCGGGAAATTCAAAACTGACAGCTCTGTTTTATGTATAAAAAGGCTTTATTTTGTGTACTCTGTATGCTTTGCTTGACAAATTATTGTGGCTCTGCATCCTTTCCAGCTGGATCGCAATAAAATCAACTCGGTGGTGCTTCCTTCAGCTTTGGTGAGATACTTTTGGGAACTTAGGGAAATCTTTTAAACTGCGGCTCCTTTTTCTTTTGCTCACCAAAGTAGTGAGCCCTCTTTGGTGGGTCTGCAGGGTCTCTCCTTCAGGGCGAGACCCTTCTAAATTCCTCCTCGACTTCATATCCTTGCATTCTAGATCTCATCATCCCCAGGTAAGGGAATGGGCCAGGATACTCTAGATCCCATCATCCTCAGGAAAGGAAAGGGCACAGGATGCACTAGATCCCAGAATCCCCAGAAAAGACGCATCCCTGCATTCTATATCCCATCATCCCCAGAAAAGGGGCATTCTTGCATTGTAGACACTAACATCCCCAGGAAAGTTGCCTCCTTGCACTCTAAATCCTATCATCCCCAGAAAGGGAAAGGGGGAAGAATATACTCTAGATCCTATCATCACCAGGGAAGGGCCTCCTTGCACTCTACACCCTATCATCCCCAGGAAAGTCACCTCCTTGAACTCTTGATCCAATGTCCCCAGGAAAGGGAAGGCCCAAGATAGACTCTAGATCCCATCATCCCCAGAAAAGATGCTTCGTTGCATTTTAGATCCCATCATCCCCAGGTAAGGGAATGGGCCTGGATTCTCTAGATCCCTCCTTGCACACTTGCACATCATCCCCAGGAAAGGAAAGGGGCTAGGATACTCTAGATCCCATCATCCCCAGGAAAGTCACCTCCTTTCACTCTAGATCCCATCATCCCCTGAAAAGGGAAGGGCCCAGAATACTCTACATATTATCCCCAGAAAAGACACATCCCTGCACTCTAGATCCCATCATCCCCAGAAAAGGGGCATCTTGCATTGTAGACCAGATCATCCCCAGGAAAGGGAAGAGGCTTGGAGAGACTCTAGACCCCATCATCCCCAGAAAGTCGCCGCCTTGCACTCTTGATTCCATCATCCTCAGGAAAGGGAAGGGCCTAGGATACTCTAGACCCCATCATAGAATCATAGAATCATAGAATCAAAGAGTTGGAAGAGACCTCATGGGCCATCCAGTCCAACCCCATTCTGCCAAGAAGCAGGAATATTGCATTCAAATCACCCCTGACAGATGGCCATCCAGCCTCTGTTTAAAAGCTTCCAAAGAAGGAGCCTCCACCACACTCCGGGGCAGAGAGTTCCACTGCTGAACGGCTCTCACAGTCAGGAAGTTCTTCCTCATGTTCAGATGGTATCTCCTCTCTTGTAGTTTGAAGCCATTGTTCCGCGTCCTAGTCTCCAAGGAAGCAGAAAACGAGCTTGCTCCCTCCTCCCTGTGGCTTCCTCTCACATATTTATACATGGCTATCATATCTCCTCTCAGCCTTCTCTTCTTCAGGCTAAACATGCCCAGCTCCTTAAGCCGCTTCTCATAGGGCTTGTTCTCCAGACCCTTGATCATTTTAGTCTCCTCTGGACACATTCCACCTTGTCAATATCCCTGAATGAATTGTAAGCAGTATGCCTAGGAAAGGAAGGAAAGAGGTCTGGAAAGGCGACTCCTTGGACTCTAGATCCCATCATCTCCAGGGAAGGGAGGCCATCCTCCCCACGGAAGGGACCAGGAGATTGCCTTCCTTGCACTCTAGATCCCATCATCCCACCAGCCCGCAGATCCTCATTCTGGGCGTTGTATTCCCAGGGAAAAAAAGGAACCCTTGGCCCCGCCCCTTCTGGGCGGAGGATCCGCCCCACGGACGTGGCATCTCCTCCGAAGCGGTGCAGCCGCGGGAGAAGCGAAGGCAGAGCGCGGGCGGGCGCTGTCTGAGGAGCAGTAGAGCCCATCATCCGCGGGCGGAGGAGAGCCATGGCGGCGGGAGTCCCTCTCTGGCTGCTGCCCGTGCTGCTCTTGGCGGGATCGGGGCCCCTGGGCGCCTTCGAGCTTGACCGGGCCCGCTTGGAAGGCTTGGCTGGCGGGAAAGTGGAGGTGAGTCTGAGATGCGGTCCAGGGAGTTGTTTGCGCCCCTTTCTCTTCCAAGGGCGAAGACTGTGCCCATCACTACCGCCCTCCAGTGGCTACTTCGGGATTTGCGCCTCTGAGCCGCTCACTTAGAGGCGCCATACGTTGGCAGCTGAGCCATTGGCCTCTACGGCCAAGCCGGAGCGAGCTGTAGGCGCATGCGTATACGCCTGGCTCAGCTTCCAGCGTCTGAGCCTATGTTTGAGCCGGCGCTTTGCCGCCATCACGTGGCCATTTAGGAAATTGCACCGTCTTGGTAGATTTTCTCAGTAGAGGGATTTATTTATTTATTTATATTTATCTATATATATAAAAATGCTCTGTGCATAATGAGTACCTTAAAAACAAAAGAACCAATGAACGAAATCACACCAAATTTGGCAACAACACGTCTCACAACACAAGGAGTGGCCATCACTCAAAAAATTATGATTTTGTCATTTGGGAGTTGTGGCTGCTGGGATTTATAGTTCACCTACAATCAAGGAGCATTCTGAACTCCACTAATGATGGAATTGAACCAAATGTGGCACACAGGGCTCCCATGACCAACAGAAAACACTAGAAGGGTTTCCTGGCCATTGACCTTGAGTTTGGGAGTTGTAGTTCACCTACATCTAGAGAGCACTGTGGACTCAAGCAATGATGGATCTGGACCAAACTTGGCACAGGTACTCCATATGCCCAAATGTAAACACTGGTAGAGTTTGGGGAAAATAGAATCTTGACATTTGGGAGTTGTAGTTGTTGGGATTTGTAGTTCAGCTACAACTAAAGAGCATTCTTAACTCCACCAACGATGGAATTGAACCAAACTTGGCACACAGAACCCTCATGACCAACAGAAAACACTAGAAGGGTTTGGTGGGCATTGTCCTTGAGTTCGGGAGTTGTAGTTCACCTACATCCAGAGAGTACTGTGGATTCAAACAAGGATGGATCTGGACCAAACTTGGCATGAATACTCAATATGCCCAAATGTGAACACTGGTGGAGTTTGGGGAAAATAGAATCTTGACATTTGGGAGTTGTAGTTGCTGGGATTTGTAGTTCACCTACAATCACAGAGCATTCTGAACCCCACCAACGATAGAATTGGGCCAAACCTCCCACACAGAACCCCCATGACCACCAGAGTGGGCCACAGCAACGCGTGGCAGGGGATGGCTAGTTTATTTATATATATATCTCCCTGTATCTCCCCATACAGACTCAAAGCGGCTCACAATCAAAAACATTACAACTTCAGCTATACAAATACACAATAATAACAGAGTATTAGCATGATATATTATTACGTATTATCTGGAGTAATTATATTTAATAATAATATTAAATATTAATAATGTAATCCCTAACAACAATGATATTTAATATATTAGTATTACTATATGACAATGTTATGAGATGTTATTATATTGTATTAGGTAAAAGAAAAGGTCCCCCCCCCCCCCCTCTGACGTTAAGTCCAGTCGTGTCTGACTCTGGGGGTTGGTGCTCATCTCCATTTCTAAGCCGAATGAGTGTTGTCCATAGACACTTCGAAGGTCATGTGGCCAGCATGACTGCATGGAGTGCTGTTACCTTCCCGCCAGAGCGGCACATATTGATCTACTCACATTTGCATGTTTTCGAACTGCTTGGTTGGCAGAAGCTGGGGTTGGCAGTGGAAGCTCATGCCGCTCCCCGGATTCGAACCTGTGACCTTTCAGTTAACAAGCTCAGCAGCTCAGTGGTTTAACCCTCTGCTCCACTGGGGGCTTGATATTCTGGGTTATATGGCTGTGTGGAAGGGCCCTAAAATGGTCTAAATAATGAGAAACAGTCATTATTTTTTATTATTTATTTGCTTCATTAATACCCCAGCTTTCTTACCCTGAAGGGAAGTTGTATTATTATTATTATTATTATATTATATTCCATTATATTATTATCAATATTATATGTATATCCAATTATTATCAATACTATATGTATTGATATTGAGTCCCCTTCAGGTTTGAGAAAGGTGGGCTAAAAATATGGTAAATAAATAAATCCAATATATTTTTTATGAGCATAGCACAATCTTAGTATTATATATGACTATATTGTAATATGGATTCCTCAGTGGCGCAGTGGGTTAAACCACCGAGGTGCTGAATTTGCTGACCAAACGGTTGGTGGAGTGAGGTGAGCTCCTGCTGTTAGCCCCAGCTTCTGCCAGCCTAGCAGTTCAAAAATATGCAAATGTGAGTAGATCAATAGGTACCACTCCAGCGGGAAGGTAACGGCGCTCCATGCAGTCATGCCGGCCACATTGGAGATGAGCTCCAACCCCCAGAGTCGGACTTCACTAGACTTAATGCCAAGGGGAAACTTTCACCTAACTTTTATATTGTATTATACCACCAGACTGCGATATTATTAGTAATCCAGTATTACATGTAATATATAATATACTATTGTTATTTATTATTATATTGTACTATATTATTCTACCACAATATATATAATACACTACCTGTATATTATACTATTAGTATGATATATTGTACTGTATCATGTGTTGTATTATGTATAATATATCATTATAACATTATTAATTTTTTTTCTTGGAGTGCAGCTCCCAGCATCCCCTGGAGGAGCTGAGGACTCCTCCATAGCAACTTCTGCAGTTGGGTGCAACTGGCACAACATATGTGCAGCATGCTTTTGGGAAAACTGGGGAAGCCCTTCCTTGCAGGGCTGTTGCTTTGAAGCCGCTGCCTGGAGGAGCAAAAGAGGACTGGAGAGGAAGCAGGCCATATGGGGAGGGTGCCAGGCTGACACTGCCATCCTTGCAGCCTCGGGCAGCAGCTGCTTCAAACATGTACATTATGGGAGTTGTCACATTTACTGCCAGGGTGAGGCAGCCATAAAATGATATATTCCGGGATTCCAAAAGGACAGAAGGAAGGGAGCCCTTTAGCACTGGGCCTCGGGTGGCACCAGGCCTTGGCCCTATATCTCAGGGCTCTACAATTCATACAGGAAATAAAAAGAGAGGCAAAGTGGAGCCTCCAGGTTCAGGCACAGACTACCTGCCAGTGCCAATTGCTGGAGGATAAGCCCTGGATGCCGTCGCTGACCTCAAGTGATCTTTCCTCTGTTCTGGGAAGCCTCTTTGGAAGCCAATCCAGTGATCAGCTTTGCATCCTTTCCGGAATGCTTTTGGCTTTAATGGCTTAATTTTTTTAACGAATGCAACTAAATACAGGGGGAGTGAAGTATGAGACTAAGGGGTCTTTAATGGTATTTCCCTGCTTTCTGCCCCCAGAGTTGCCGAGGATGACGACTGAACCGCCTGAAAGAGGTAATTTCCCCATTCCTTCTCTGGAAATATTGCTTCGCATTCCTTCCTTGACAGTCTCCCATCCAAGTGCCAACCAGGCCTGACCCTGCTTAGCTCTCCAAATCAGGCAGGCTCCATTGCTTGTAGGGCAGTGTATCTCGACCTTCCAAATACCACGACCCCTTAATACCATTCCTCGTGTTGTGGTGACCCCCAACCATAAAATTATTTCCGTTGCAACTTCATAACTATCATTATGCTGCTGTTATGAATCGTTATGTAAATATCTGCATTTTCATTCACTGGACCAGATTTGGCACAAATACCCAATACTCCCAAATTTGAATACTGGTGGTTGGGGGGAATTGATTTTGTCATTTGGGAGTTGTAGTTGTTGGGATTTATAGTTCACCTACAATCAAAGAGCATTCTGAACTCAGCCAGTGATGGAATTGAACCAGACTTGGCACACAGAACTCCCAAGACGAACAGAAAATACTGGAAGGGTTTGGTGGGCATTGACCTTGAGTTTTGGAGTTGTAGTTCACCTACATCCAGAGAGCACTGTGGACTCAAACAATGATGGATCAGGACCAAATTTGGCATGAATACTCCATATACCCAAATGTGAACACTGGTGTAGTTTGGGAAAACAGACATTGGCATTTGGGAGTTGTACTTGCCGAGATTTATAGTTTACCTACAAACAAAGAGCATCCTGAACCCCATCAACAATAGAATTAAGCCAAACTTACCACATAGAACCCCCATGACCAACAGAAAATACTGTGTTTTCTGATGGTCTGTGGCAACCCCACTGACACCCCCTCGCAACCCCCCCAGGAGTCCCGACCCCCAGGTTGAGAAATAATGTTATAAGGGATCTCAGCTAATCTTGATGCAGGAACCTGAGGCTTTGCTTGGAAAATTCAATGCCATCTGCTAGGATTGCCAAGTTCTGTCAGTGATCGTTGTCTCTTTTTATTTTTCAGGTGAAGGCCTTCATCACGGAAGACCTCCCTCTGTAGTATCCTTTTGGTAGGGTATCATCATTATGGGGTGGGTAAGAGGAACCCAAAGGGACACTGTACCAAACTCCGAAGGCTTGGGCATTGTAGCCAGGATGGCAAGGCCGTTTCCATAAGAGAGGCAGGTGACTACTCTCTGCCCATGAAATGCCACCCTGAGGACTTCCTCGAAATGGGAAATGGCCCTTGGAGTGAAAGACCCCTATTGGCACACCCCAATATGCCAATACCTGCTTGTATGGGATGTGCCAACGGCCGGGATGTCTGTGCCACTTGGTACAACAGAGATGAGGATGGGGTGCCCACGGAGAGAGGAACTGATTTGACACTATTTCAACGAAACCCAAACTCAGTCCCATGGCTTTGAATGCCTGGAGATTGTTGCTGCTCAAGAGGATTCTGGGAGCTAGAGTCCCTTTGCCAAGCCCTGGCATTCTTGCCTGCCTCCTTAACCCTTCTCTCAGCCACAACCTGGTCATGAAGCACCTGCCCGGATCCGACCCTGAACTCGTGCTGCTCAATTTCCAATACAAAGAACTGGAGGTAGGAAGGGTATCCTGAGTGCAGCAGTCGCAAAGGGGTGGGATTGGTGTTGCGCCATTGTGGCACCATTGCCCTTCTTGTCCATGAAGCAATACATCTGTTCTGGGATCTAGTCTGAACATGAACCCTTTGGAGGTATGGCACTGAGTTCCACAATTTTATTTTCCAGCGTATCCCTCTCAGTGACATGACCAGAGAAGAGATCAACCGGCTGGTCCTAGAGCTGGGCTTCTACCGCAAGGAGGCGCCCGATGCCCCTGTGCCCGAAGAGTATAAGCTGTCACCAGCTCGACCAGCCACAGAGGCAACCAAGCCCAAGGCAGAGGGGAAAGGAGCTGCAGGCAATGAACTGTAGATGTGAGCTTTCTCATTGGGCAGAGAGGGCACGACGTGGGCATGGCAGGCATAGGTCTGTTGTACCCACTGCAGGGGAACGGAATGTCCAAAAATGGCACTATAGAAGAAGAAAAAGAAGTGCCAGGCCCTGATGGTGGCAAAGAGATACTTGAAAGTGCTAGATGGTGCCCACTTTAAGATGCCAAAAAGGGTGGCATTAGTTCGAACTTCGCCTATTCAACTCCGATAGGAGCAGAAGACTACTAAGGGATGAAAGGTATCAGTCCACTGGCACTGTCCCATTCTGCCCCCCTGCCACCTTGTTTGTAGATCACTCCCAAAATTGGTCACTCCCCTTCCCAATTCCACAGCCATGCCCTCGAAGAGGAGTTTGTTTGTATCACCCAGGGCACACCTTTCTAAGAATGAGTTGGCATGTGTTTTCCCCGCTGCTGTGCTCTGCGTTCATGGGACAGGATGAAGCCCTCGGCCAAAAGCTCTTGGCGCCGAGGGTGGATAGACAGTGTCCCATCGGACACCAGAGCATGGCATGCTGGCAAACACAGGCAGGTTCCCCACACTCCATTTGCTGTACACCAAAAGTCCTAAATAAAGTCTATTTTCATCCATCAGGCTCCATGTTGTGACAATTGATGGGGAAATGTGTATAGAATTCTTAAATAAGAGGCAGTGCCCATATTTTGCCCCCCACTCTTTGGGAGAAAGAGAAAAGTGGACTAAATTGCCTTGGAATCAGATGGTTCAAAAAGATGGCATAGGTTAGCAGGCAAAACAAAGGAAAGTAAACCTAGAACAAGGGTCGATCCAAACTTTTATTGTCTCACTTGGTGCCCGATACATACATTCTCGTGCGGTGCTCAAACAGCAAGAAGCCAGTGCGTGGCCCAGAGCAGTGCAGGAGGAAGAGCCCAACTCCTGGGGGATTCTGGGAGTTGTCATCCCCACGCATGTCATACCCCAAGCTCTGAGCCCCAAAGTGAGACTCTGTAACAGATGCTGTTTGATACACACAAATAAAACCCATTGGTGGCTCCCCATCCAGAAGCAGCGGGCAAACGTTGGGCTGCCACAAGGACTGGCACACTAGGCATCTCTTGGCTGGAACAGCTGGCAGAAAGGGGCCGGCATCTATGCCAATGCCAAACCTGGTCTCCATTTTGGCTGACTCAGAAGCTAAAAGGACTCTGGGAGTACAAATCCTCAATCCGCTCTGGATTTTAGCCCAAACTGCCAAGGTGCTGAACTCGACCTTCGAAATAGATTATCTAAAGCTGAGACTAAAACCTGGAACGGATGCCTGACCAATTGGGAAAGCACCAGTGACGTGCCCTTTGACGTTTCACAGATGGAAACGAGGGCCTGCGCTGCAGCAGTTTGCTTTTGCCTGAGTCCACTGGGAATGCTGCATTTTCTTTGGAGGTGAGTGGAGGACCATAGGCTTGGAGTGCAGCTTGAACTCCAACATCTGGCAAAACTTGAGCTCTTTACCAGTCAGAGATGCCAGTTGTAAGCAAAAAGGACCAAGCGCCTGACCCGACTGAATGCAATTTCCAGCTACTGTTTAGGACTACATCTCCCCAAAAATCCCCAATTGGAGGATTCTCAGATTTGTAGTCCCAAAGAGTGGCCTTTCTGGCATGAGCAGGGCCGCCACTTTACCAATGAAGGCTTCAACCCCCCAAGCATCCACTCCGGTTTGTAGTTGGAACTTTAAACAATTTTCAGCGGCGAGCTTGGGACTGAAGGGGTGGGTCGTGGCACAGCGGAGGCAATGTTTTTCTTTTTTTAAAAAGGAATAACTTACAAGACATCATCATCATTATATCAGAAGCACGCGTGGAGGTCCTCAGTTCCCGACGGAAGTCCTGCCAACCCTTCGGGGCGGGCACAAGAGGGTCAAGGGCCCTGCCAACCCCACGCTGTTGCCGAGGAGGAGGACAAAGAGGGGCAAGAGCGGTGTGGCGTTGCGGGCAAAGCTGTCCCCGGGTGGCGGGCCTTTGGGTGGGCGCTTGGGGCGGGCGAAGGAGGGAGGCTAGAAGGACTGCTGCTGCCGCATGCGGAGCTCGTGGCGCCGCAGGTGGTTGTAGAGGGACTGGACGTACGTGAAGACGCACTTGGCGTCAGGGCGCTTGCCCATGATCATCATGTCCTCCACGTCCACCAAGGGCACACAGTCCACCAGCATCCTGCCAAAGGGAGAGCGGCGTCAAGGCGGGTGAGGGAAGGTGACAAAGCAGACAGGCTGGCAAAGAGACTTACAAAACCCGTACACCACAACTGGGCACACGCTGATTGCCCAACTGGGAAGGACACTGCCCTCAGTAACCCTTTTTCTATCTTTCCTGAGCTTTGCACTCCCAGGACCGAGAGTCTTGCTCCATGTCCTCCAATAGAGAGTGAGGACTCAAAACCCGGGTTTCCAGAGGCTGAGTGGGATGCTCACACCCCAACATCCAGAGAAAACCAAAGCAAATGGAGAGTGTCTGGTGGGGATTCCTCATGGGAAGTGGGCACAGACAAATTTCCAAAAAGTAATGCAGATGGGCATCACCTCCCACCTGTACTAGAACTCCTCAAATCCCCTATCCAGCAGAAACAGTAGTTGAAGGACGATGGGACTCGATCCAGCAAAATTGGGAAGACCCTAAGCAGCCTCCCCATGAATCCAGTCAAAGCCTTGCTTGTGGTTTCAATGTGCCACTTTTCCAAGCTTTGTGGCTCCTCGGCGACTGCACAAATCTGGGTTGGCCCCAAGAGCGCTCCCAGCTGCCCTTATAAAGCCATGGCTTCACCTCCTCTGCCGTTGGTTTGTCCCAGGAGAAGGAGGAGGCCAAGGAGGAGATGTTCACAAGGGCTGCCTGAGTCACTTTTTCCATGGCCTCCGCTCCTCCGGGACTTATATGGCCAGAGCAAACAAACAAAAAGACGGAGGCAAAGGAGGAGACTACGAAGCTCTCCCATCACCTGGGCCGGCTCCGTGTCTCCCTGTCTTGGCCCCATTCGGGAACCCAGAAGGCCACCTGCTCTCCCTGATGATCGACAGGTAGACCTGGCCCATCATCCACCAGCACCCAGGCCCAAAACCATGCCTGTAGAACAAGGAACCAAACACTCAAACACCAAGAGTTGGCAAGAACACACACAGGACACTCTGGACCTTTTGTCCAGAAAAATCCCCCAATACCGTTGTGTTGAGAAGAGGCACCAGGGGGCAAGGAAGTGATGGATCTGATAAGGAGATGGGAGAAGCAATCAAATCAGTGGAGAGAGAAAGAATTGGGTGACAGCTGAACATTTGAAGGGGCTTCTAGAAAAAGATAGGACAGCCCATGAGAGCTACGGGGCAGACTCAGAGAGGAATTAAGTCACACTCAGAGTTATGAATTGGGTTCAGAGAGGAGTTAGAGATAGTTAGGATTAGTTAGACCTGGAAAAAGAAATCGGAGATTCAGACTAGTTAGAGGGGCTCACGAGGATGAGTGAGCGAGATTCAGATATTTAAGTTGATTAGATAATTGGTTAGATTCAGAGATATGAAGTAGAGGCAGGATTTAGATTCAGAGATAGAAGTTAGAGACAAGAGTTAGATTTAGAGACATGGAGTAGACCAGGCCTGGGCAAACTTTGGCCTTCCTCCAGGTTTTGGACTGCAACTCCCACAATTCCGAACAGCCCCAGGATCTTTCCTTTTCCCCTTCCTTGTCCACTTAAGGGGCTGAGGAGGAAAAGGAATGGGCCTGAGGCTGTTCAGAATGGTGGGAGTTGAAGTCCAAAACACCTGGAGGGAGGGCTGAAGTTTGCCCATCCCTGGGTTTGATACAGGAACTAGTTAGATTCAGAGATATGCGTTGGTTAGAGATAGGAAGGTTCAGATATGTGAGTTGGTCCAAGACTCAGAGAAGGAAGTAAGAGTTCCTTACTGAGAGGCAATGGCAAATCTTGGGTCCTGGGCATAGGCTGGTGCCCCTGCCCTCCCCTGCCCCCCAGTCCCCATAAAGAAGAAGAAGAAGAAGAAAGGTCTCACCATAGCTCTGCCGAGGGGCGGCTAAGACTTTTTGGTTTTAACCAGCCCTTTCTGGACCAGGCAGCGATAGAACTCCTGGATGTACGTGTACACGCACTTCCAATCGGGCTCCCGCATCCGGACCATGTCCTCCACGTCCAGCAACTGGGGGCACTCCGCATGTGTCCTGGTTGGGGGGGGGGGGGGGGTTGTGGGGAAGGAAGCCAGTGATCACAGCCCAGACAGGTCGGGGTCAGGGGGGAAAGGAGGGAGAGAAAGAGAGGAAGAAACAGGAAGAGATAGGAGGAGAAAACACAAGAGATACATAAATCCAATTCACATTCCCTGTGTCAGACCCACATACATGCATGGGGGGAGGGAGTGCCAGGCAAAGGCAAACGGGTGGGAAAGGGGAGCATGGCATACTGGGACTCATTCTTCAGACCAATGAGACTGACAAGGTGTGGGTGACAAAAGTGGTGCCAGGGCAGGGTGGTGAGGGGCAACGACAGGGTGCAAGACAAAGTCAAGTCTTCACACAGCAAGAAGGGAGGAAAGACGGAAAGGAGACGGAGAGGAGATGTGCGGTGCGCTCGCGCCAATTCCAAGGTGGGGCAAGAAAGCGCTGCCCGCTGCGCCAACAGCCCCAGCCTTGGAACTGCGCCACGGCACGCCTGGGGTGCCTGAAGCCGAGGGGAGACACCAGGGAAGGGGGGCAAAAGCGGCACAGGACGGCACCTGGAGGTCGGGCGTGGAAGGAGGGGTCGGTTGCTCTTGCGGTCCACACGCCAGGCATGAGCCACCCTGCGAGCTGGAGACATGGCCAGGCAGTGCCCTGTGCACTGTGCTGGGCACCCAGAAAGCCCTGCAGGTAGCGCAGGTGGGCCATCCTTCATAGAAAAAAGGCCACGTTGCCACCCACTGGCCTAGGATGCCATGGAGCAGTGGTGGGTAAAATAAAACCTGGCACTCATGGAGAGGGGCATTGAAATGCTGGGCTCACCCCAAGTGTCTATGCAGGGCACCAGGAGGGAACTATCTGTAAAAGGGTCCCCGCCAGTAAGTCAATGGATACTTTGAAAGCGGGGAGCAGGCTTTCAGATGGAGGGCATTCCCAACCCTAAATGGGGACACTGGGGATAGAATGTGGGGCCTTCTGGATCCAAAAAGGAGGTTCAATGGCTGAGCTACCCAATGGCCCAAAGGCCTGGGGTCAGAAAGTTTGCCCCAGACCTCTTGTCCCATACATGCGGATGGGCTGTTTTGGACCCTGGACCAAGTCACTGGTGGGGTCGAACCCAAAGTCACCCTCCTGAGTGACAGATTGGAGGCAAGAGCCTCAGGAAATGGCTTGGGAGCCAGAGGGGTTGCCCAACACTGCTCCTGGGGGCCCCTAACACGCCCTTAGTGCTGAGGAGAGAAAGCATCTGAGGGAGGAGAAAAAGAGAGAGAAAGAGAGATGTCTTTTCTTGCAGGATCTGGTCCTCGTGCGGCACCAGGGAACGCCAAGCTCAGGGAGTCCCGGCCGTGCCCGAGCCATGGCCACTCCAACACCCTGCCCACCTGTCGCCAAGCTGCAATGGCCCCCTTCCACACCATCCCATCCCAATGTTCAGCTCTTAGCAGGAAATAGTCTGCAGTGACCGCACCACGATGTTCCAGAGACAGCACCAGCGATGCCCACCCACCGGTGTGCAGGCAAGGCGGTCCTAAGCACCAGGAGGGGGCAAAAAGGCTCTTTGGGCACCCGGGCAAAACAAGAAGCGATGCTTGCCCCCGTTACCCTGCTGGCAAGGCTCAGGTCAGCTGGAGAATCCTGGCCTTCATTTTTTTAAATAAACCAACTTTCTAGCCCTTATGCCTCCTGTGTTGGAACGGTGAAGCTGATGCCCTTTGCAACTGGAAAAGCGAGGAGTGTGTATGCGCAGCTTCCAGTATCCCTCCTGACCCCCTTCCCTAACTTGGCAAACCTCACTCCAAGGAAGTAGGCACTGCCCTCTGCCTCCTGCCCAACGGAGGAGGGGATACCTACTCTGCCGCCGAGAAGGCCATCTCAAAGTTGCGTCGCCGGTCCTGCGGCGAGAGCTGGGCATAATCGAACGCCTCGGGGAAGAAGTTGTGGACCAGGGCGCAGAAGGCCATGCCGTCACTCCAGCTGGAAGAGAAGTTCTGGATGTCGACGTGCTAGAAGAGAGAAGGGGAGGCGGACATCAGAGAGGTGCCAACGAGGCCGGGCCGGAAGGGGAAGGCAAGGGGTCAGCCACTCACATCGTAACCCCGGGTCTTGGCACGGCACCAGTCCAGGAGCATCTGCTTGATGCTGTTGGCATTGGGTACCCCGAAGCTGGCAGAGCGCTGGACAGCCACCCGTGACACAGCAGGGTTTGCCGGGCTGTGGAGAAACAGAGGAAAGAACATGACAGCCCACTTAATATGTACAGCGATCCAAAGGCTGTTTTTCTTGCCAAGGGATTTCCCATTGCCTTCCTTCGAGAGCGTGGGCCTTGCCTGAGGGCACCCAGTGGGCGTCCATGGCCAAGTGAGGATTTGAACCCTGCTCTCCAGAGCCAGTATGGGCCCAGCGCCTCACCTCCCGCCCTCCTTCTCCATCTTCTCGATCATGGCCTTGCGCGCCTGCGAAGTGGTGGCCTTGGGCAAGCTCTGGGCCTTCATTAGCTCCTTCTTCTTCTCCGCCTGGCGCCGCTCCAGTGCTGCCAAGCTGCCCGCCCGGCTGGGGCTCTCGTCCTCACGCTCAAAGATGCTGCAAGAGGCGGGCACAAGGAGGATCAATGACAAGGGCAACATGGCATGGATATGAAATCATTGCCTTCCCCCGAGGCACATTCTGCCCCAGTTTGGTCAGAGCAATTATGTCTCCCAAGGGCCAAACCTATGCTCATGGCAATGGTGTCCCCCAAGAGTTCCTTCAAAAGGCAAAAGAAGTGAATGAGAGGGACATCTGAGATGCCACAGGAAAACAACAAGGCTTCTCTTTGTTTCCATGTTTCTGTCAAGACCTTTCTTTTTTTCCCTCGATTTATTTTTAGGGTCCTGCTTTCATGTATTTTAAATGTCTCTGTAAACAACGTTGAGAACTTCCTTAAATGTGAGATAGAAATAACTCAGAGAGCAACTAAGGGGCAGCCTCGGTTCCCAGCTGCTCAGTTGTATGCCAAGCCACGGATGTTGTCAACCCCATGGAAACCCCCTTCACACTCACCTGCCCACTTTCTTAGAGGAAGAACTGAAGGAGGACTTGGTCTGGACGAAGGTGTTGCCACCTGCTAGAAGGGGCAAAGGAAGGAAAGGACAGAGATGACAAAAGATTGTAGGCACAAGACTGAGTCCCTTTGGGGAGAGAGGGCGGGTTATAAATAAAGTCATATTATTATTATTATTATTATTATTATTATTAATATTAATATTATTGGTACTTCTGGTGAATAATAATAATAAATATCAGCCAGCATGCCAACACCTTAAATCAAGAAATAGTTTTCTAAGATCTACAGAGATACTCGCAGGAACACCTCAGCAAGTGAGAGTCCAAAAGTGGCAGGCTAAAACCCAGAACCTCAACCCATGGCTAATACCAAATGAAAGACTCCCTCCTGGGCACACAGAAGACTGGGAGGGCGCTGAACAGGCTGCAGTCTGGCATCACGAGATGCAGAGCCAGCCTTAAGAAATAGGGCCACAAAGTGGAGTCCACAACATGCGAGTGTGGAGAAGAGCAAACCACAGACTACCTATTACAATGCAGCCTGAGCCCTGACACATGCACAATGGAGGACCTTCTTATAGCAACACCAGAGGCACTCCAAGTGGTCAGCTACTGCTCAAAGAACATTTAATATAATGCCAAGTTTCTAAACTTGATATTTTCAAAATACATTACAACTGTATCCTTGGTTCGCTCCTGATACAATAAACAAATTGTTGTTGTTGTTGTTGTTGTTGTTGTGGCCCAGAGCAGGACAGGTGGCATAGTAGGTTGTCATGGCGGTTCAAGTGGAATGAGAATGCTATAATGGCACGGGGTCCTAATACAACACTGCAAGATGTCTGAAAGCTCTGCTTTGTGCAATTCTGAGTGTGTGACCTTGGCATCAGGTGGTCTCCAAGCCATCAGGTGGATTTGGCGGCTCTTTTTTGTTTTTTTGTTTTTGTTTTTTTAAATCTCATTTTGACTTGGGAAGTGAAGGAGGATCTCGATTGACCAAGTCTGAAGGAAAAGACAGGAGAAAGGCTGTTCTCCCCATTCCATGGCTGGGATTTCTGCTTTTGTGTCTATGGAAAATCTCAGCCTAGGGCCTGTTGATGAAGAAGGAGCAGGAAGCCAAAGAGGCAGCCTATTTTCAGCTACATTTCTGGCAAAGGCAGATGTCAGCTCAGCATCAGAAGACGCTCCCTGGGACAACGACCAACACAAAGACAACCACTTGGCTTTACTGACGTACAATAAACAACGAAAATACTTAAAATTTCATGCCCCATTTGGAGGATTATCTCCCATCTCTGTTTAACATCCAATAAATGTTTTGGGGAAAGACAGCCCCGCATTAGTATCAGAACTGGATAACTTCCATGTCAGGAGGGCTGGGTTTCAGTGCGAATCTTCAGGGATGGTGAAGCTGTTTGGTCAGTAAGGTTCCATAAAGTTGGGACTGAAGACTGGAGTGGGTTGACCTGAGCCTAAGAATCCTAAAGCAGTGTTTCTCCACTTTCCTAATGCCGCGACCCCTTAATAGAGTTCCTCACATTGTGGTGACCCCCAACCATAACATTATTTTCGTTGCTACTTCATAACTGTAATTTTGCTACTGCTATGAATTGGAATGTAACTACCTGATATGCAGGATGTATTGTCATTCACTGGACCAAATTTGGCACAAATACCCAATATGCCCAAATGTGAATACTGGTGGGGTTGGTCATTTGGGAGTTGTAATTGCTGGGATTTATAGTTCACCTACAATCAAGGAGCATTCTGAACTCCACCAATGATGGAATTGAATCAAACTTGGCACACAAAACCCCATAACCAATAGAAAATACTGGAAGGGTTTGGTGGGCATTGACCTTGAGTTTTGGAGTTGTAGTTCACCTACATCCAGAGAGCACTGTGGACTCAAACAATGATGGAACTGGACCAAACTTGGCACTAATGCTCAAATGTGAACATTGGTGGAGTTTGGGGAAATTAGACCTTGACATTTGGGAGTTGTAGTTTCTGGGATTTATAGTTCACCTACAATCAAAGAGCATTCTAGACCCCATCAATGATAAAATTGGGAGACTTGGAAGGCTCTGGCACCACGAGATGCACAGAACCCCCCTGCCTTGAAGGGACTTGCTGGCAGGAGCCTCCCTCCAGCCGTGCACGCTCTCCCTCGTCCGCACATGCGCACCACGCTGCCATGAGCCAAGCATGCCTGCTGTCCCCTCCCTGCTTGGAGTCTCAGAAACAGCCCTCCCCTTGGCTGAAAGACCCGCCAAACACAGCGGAGGAAGGCATTTGATGGGAGGATTAGCCGTCTGTTTCCAAAAAGAAAGAGAAGGACAGGTGGAGAAGATCTCCAGCCTTCTCTGCCAAAGGGGTTCCTAAGACCATCAGAAAGATATGTTTTCTACTGGGCTTTGGCAACCCTTCTGAAACCCTCTCGTGACCCCCCCCCCAGGATCCCGACCCCCAGGTTGAGAAACGCTGTCCTAAAGGGACCCTAAAGGTCATCTAGACCAACCCCTCAACCCAGGATCACCCATCTGAACCTGCTTTCCTTTCTGCCAAAAGGACCTTACTTACTTTCTGATCTCTTTACATAGCTGGATTCCATGGTCATGGTGCGGGAGGTTTTGCTGCCATCATCTGGGGAAAGAACAAGGAAAGGAGGGACGTGAGGAACCCAAGAGGCAATGGCTTCAATATCCCACCTCCAGAGGATGGTCATAAGCAAGATCCAGATATTTCTCCTAACGTTCACTCAGAATCTACCTTCCTTAAGAAGCCTTTGCCCCCTTATTCTTCCTTCCAAGGATAATGGAAAACCTACATTCTCTGCTGCAGCCGATCCAGGCTCTCCTGCCTTCAAAACCAGTGCTCTTGGAATGGCACGTTCTATCCCCAGTGTCCCCATTTGAGCCGAGTCCAATCTAAACCTGAGATGCTTTTCAGCAAAGACGCATGCAAAAACAATGGCGCCTTTCGAAACCACATAATACAAAAGGCAACTGGAACACGCAAGCACATATGGCTGAGAGGAGAGCGACACATCGGGGGGGGGGGGGTCTGTATGGTTTGGAGGAAATGTGGTCTGAAAATGATGGGGGGGTGAGGAAAGCAGCAGCCAAGAGCAAAGCCCCGGGTGCCAGGAAGCAGTGGAAGAGAGTGCCAACGCAAGCCATTCGAAGTGCCGACTGCCAGGCAGAGGCCAGAAACCAAGCGGAGGAAAGAGAGATTGGGCAGGTACCTTTCAGAGCGGAGAGAGGACTCGGTCGAGGTGGGTGAGGAAGCGCTCAGTGGAAAGAGGAGAAATGGGACACCTGCTAGAGCAGAAAGAAAGGGGATCCTCTCCAAGAGAAGAAGAAAAGCAGAGTGAAGAGGCAGAGGTTTCTAAGGACCCATCGACATGGTTGAACAAATGCAGTTTGCCCCCACCTCTGTTGCCAGGACTGTATGGAATCCTAGGAGTTGCAGTCCAGCAAGGCCTTTTGCCTCCCCAAATGACAGCTCCAAGGATTCTATAGCCTCAAGCCAAAGTGGGGTCAAACAGCATGCAGTCAACTGTGTTAAGATGATGAAGCTGATCCCCTCCCAAACAGGCCCAGATCTTTGGCTCGAACCCATCTCAAAAGAAACTTCCCTGGCATGGGAGTACTGCCCCCATGCCCACCCCAGGCAACCATGCCATGGCATGGCATTGCCCTCAAACGATTGCTGTTACTCCTTACTGGATTGGACCAGGCGCTGGGTCTTGGTGATGGTGCTGACGGCCGATCCATCAGCAGAGGTGGCGCTCTGCCGGGCGGTGGTCTCCACGGTGTGGGTGGCCCCTTTGGCCTTGGCCTCCTGCAGCCGCTGGTCCCGCTCCTTCTCGCGCTGCTCTGAAAAAGGCACGGCCAACGAGGGGTCAGACCCAAGAGGAAAGCAGGCAATTCAGAAAAACTCTTGAGAGGCACTTTACTCCTCACAACAGCCCTGCAAGGCAGGCCAGGTTGCAGGGGCAGCTGGCCTTAAACCTTTGTGAAGAAGCAGAAGGAGGAGGAGGAGGAGGAGGAGGAGACGAAGGAGCAGGACTAAGATTCAGAGCAATGGACTCAAATTACAGGAAAGGAGATTCCACCTGAACATTAGGAAGAACTTCCTGACTGTAAGAAGAGCTGCTCAACAATAGAACTCTCTGCCTCAGAGACCGGTGGAAGCTCCTTCCTTGGAGATTTTTAAACAGAGGCTGGATGGCCATCTGTCAGGGATACTTTGATTGTTCTTTCCCTGCATGGCAGAAGGGGCTTGGACTGAATGGCCCATTTGGTCTCTTCTAACTCTATCTATCTATGATTCTGAATGTACCTCGTTTCCTCTGGCGCAATTCCCGCATGGCCGCCCGGATCAACCGCCGCTCCTCGAAGTCCGTTGTCTGATCCAGCTGGAAAGAGAAAACCCCACGTAATGAAACGGGGATGGGGCACCAATATCATCATCCTCTGCCTCCAAACCCAACCTCTACAACCAGGTAGCACCCCAAAACCAAAGCATTTCCTTTCGTCCCTGCTTCAAAGTCTTTAAAAGCCCAATAGTTTGGCTTTTTCCTGGCTTCTCTCTGCCACCCACCATTTTATCCAGCACGTCCTCCTCCTCGATTTTGCTCAGTTCCTCAGCACTTAGGTGCCCGCGCGGAGCCTTCTCTTTCTCTGCGTTGTGGGAAATGGGAACCGCCGACGTCTTGGGAAGCTCCGGCAACTCAGCCTCCATCTAAGAAAAAAATGGTCAGTGAGCCTGGCAGGAAACCCCATGGCTGGACGTGCCTAAACCCTTTTTGGTGCCCCGTCGGCAAGGGCATGACATTGCAAAAGGACAAGCTGCACAGTCTCCTTTGGCATGGCTCCCATGGGGGGGGGGGGGGGGGGGGGGGGGGGGGGGGGGGGGGGGAGGGGGGGGGGGGAGGGGGTTCAAACAATTTATGCCACTTTAGTAGGGCAAGAGGGCAAAAGTCCTGAAGAAGTAGGATTTTTGGTGCCATTTTGCAAAGGATCTTTGGCATTTCTATAGAGCAGATATGGGCAAAATAAGGCTCAGAGGGCAGATACGGCCCCCTGGCTGCTTACCTCAGGCCCTCCTCATTTTCCTTGCTCTCTTGGCCTAAGGACGCGCTAACCTGCCGCATCCTTATTCAGAAAGGATGGAGGAGGAAGGCACACAGCAGCTGAGAGCCCTCTGGAGCACTCTCACCCACCACACATCTCATCCTCCTCCCAACATAAGGAAGGTGCAAGCGGCCCCATCCTTATGCCAAGGATGCAGGAGGATGCAGTGGCTAAGATGTCCAAACCTTATTTTATGTTTTATGTATTAATATGGTTAGGTTTTTAATTTATAGTTATATGTTATTGTCTAGCTATTATGTTTTGGTTTTCACATGTATGTATGGCATTGAATTTTGCCTTTATTATGTTGGAAACCACTCTGAGTTCCCTCAGGGGGAGAATAGTGGTATATAAATGTAAATAAATAATACGAGCCTTCGAGACCACTCTCAGCTACTGCCTGTCAAGCCCTCCTCCGAGCATAATGCCAAGAAGACAGCCCAAAGATCGGGGGAGGTGGATCGGGGCAGCAGACGCATATATCGTTTTCCTCCGGGCATAAGGAAGGGGTGAGCAGCCCTGTCCTTATTTGAGGAGGACAACTTGAGGATGACCCAAGCCCTGCCCTGTGACGCCCCTTCCCAGTCCTGCCCTCTCCCTCGCCCTCTCCCTCCTGGATCGATCCCACCCAATATGTGGCCCTAAGACAAAAAAGTTTGCCCATGCCTGCTATAGAGCTATGCCCGGGCCTAGCAAGGGAGAGCAGGGTTTCAAGTACTCTGTGGGCACAGAGCAGAGTAAACTGTGTCAGGGGATTTCTAGCGGGGGATTAGAAGGGCTTTATGGCAAAACAGTTTCTCAGCAGAAATCAAAATTGTGTCATTATGCAGGATGAGGGTTCAAGACGGTCTGAAAGAGGGCACAGCAGCGATGCCATTGGATCCACCCCAGGGTTTACTCTAAACCTTCATGCCACTCTTCTCCGAGGTGCCAATCTGGAACTGGCAAAAGGAATCCAGCACCTCGGAGAGCGCCTTCAGAGCTAAAACCTAAGGTCAGTTCACCACCCTGCAGACCTGGAGGTGCCCTTCCCAATGCTGGGGCCGCTTGATGGGAGACAATCCCAGCACAAGCTGCACAACAGCATTCAAAGCCGTTGCTATCCATGCCCACACATTCTTGGATGAGCCCTGAGCTGGGAAGAGAAAGAGGAGGGGACCATCCCAGAAACTGAGCCGCACAAGGCAGCTGGACCAGGTTCCGTGCCAGGGAAAGACACCCCCTGCTGATGCAGCTGCCCTGGCAGCCATTTTGCCCCAAGCAATTTGAATGACCATGGGTTCTATTGGCACAGGTAAGATGCCATGTGCCAAGCCTTGGGCAGAGTGCACCTGTCCCCTAAGTTGGCAGATATAATCCTCCTAGCTTTCTCACACACACATTTCCCCGACACACAACAAATGATACCAAGTCGCAACAGAGTACACATTTCCTTCATTTATATCAGCCTTTTCCACTTCTACAGATATTCCATTCCTTTGGTTCCCTCTTCCAACTCCCTCCCTCCTCTTTTGAGTCAAATGAAAGCTGTAATCCAGGTCAGGATCCTCTCTGTTTTTGTGGACGTCGGTTTGACAAGGACCCTAGCAACATCTTCATTGTTGGCACCATGGTGGTATTGGACATTTCTTGGTACACAATCCACTCAGCTCAAAGTCTGGGCTTGCTCAGAGGATAGGATTCGTACTGTAGATGTTGGCTACCATACATTCCTTTTCTACGCAGCCAAGCAAACCAGAAGGAGTCTAGGTGTCCCTGACCATCGGTCACAGTCCCCATGTTCTTTCCTACTAACGCCGGCTGCTCCCTGGCACTGTGGCACCTGCAACATTGCCACTCCGAGGTAGATGGGCCCCTGAGGACCTCCGGGTGCTAGAAAATGTGGGCGGGTGCGCCACAGGCTCTGCAGGCTCATCGGTGCCCGAAAAGTGGGCCCCTGGATCTCCTGACTCAAGCAGCAGGGTGCTGGGGTCCTTCTCTTCACCCTGGGAAAGGCTGAGTTGCTTCAGGCTCCGGCTGAGCTGCTCCTGCTTGGCCCGTAGGGTGGCATTCTCTGCCTGCAGGTTGGCGAGGGCGGCAGCCAGCGGACGCACCAGGCGGAGGGCCTCCTCGACCTGTTGCTCCAGCGCCAAGCGGCAGGACTGTAGCTCCTGGCGCACCTCCTGGATAGCCTGGCATAAGGGCTCCTCTGGGGCTGAAGCTGGTGCTCGTTCCAGGCTTGGGGTGGGCACCCCGGGCATGGCGACAGAGAGACTGAAGGTCAACCAAGCAGAGGAGGTCACTGGATGCCACTAGCTTGGGTCGCCAAAGTGTCCCAAGTGGTGGCAGCACTGCCTTGTGCCTCTTTTGCTGTGGCAGAATCCCAATCGGGTCCTATTGTGGCACCCGGAACGCTAGCGGCAGAGGCAGGCAGGCGATCCGCATTGCTTCTGGCTATTCTTGTCCCAGAGGCGAAGGAGGGTGTCCGCTTGCCAATGACAGTCAAAGACAGGGTGACAGCCGGGGCAGGTGGTCGGAAGGCTTGACGGATTGGGGGGGGACTGCGTCCCGACCGGAGAAAGGAATGGAGATTTGGACAGGGGCAGGGTGCCCCCTGGGGGCAGCACAGAGTCCTGGCAGATGATAAGGGGCAAGGCGAGAAGCTTCCCACTTCAAAACAATGAGGGAGGGACGCCACACAAACCCTTTCACAGTCTGCTCCAGGCTGGAAAAGATCACTAGCCACCCGTCAGGTCCTCCAATGCAACTGGAAGAAGGATTTGACTTGGGGTCAACTCACAAAGGACTGCCCTATATCTGCCCCCTAATCCAGGATTTGGGAAACTGAGACTAAGTAATGGGTTTCTTTTTTCTTTTGTCAATTGCAAAAAGAGGTAAACAGTACTGAGAATCCGTAACAGCACCAGAATCCCAAATAATTCCCGTACAGAGACACAGGAAGCAAAACGTGCACTTGACAGTGGGGCAAACACAGACAACACCTCCTCTGGCATTGCCACAAGGCAAGCTACATTCAACAGGAATCCTACACAAACTCCATCTCAGTGTCACAATGCCACCCTTCAATTGTCTACTACTGGCAAGATGGAAGGGGAAAGGAGAAAGAGGTGGAGGCCCGCTTGGCACTCACCTGAGCCATGGGTTGCCAGTCAAATGCCAGCCCTCTCAAGTCACTTTCCTTGTCCCCTTGGCACCACGCTGCTTACTGAATAATGCAGGGCAAAGCAAGGGATCGGGTTCTCGCCTCTGCTGTCCCGCTTGGCTTCCTTCCCTCGAGCTCTTCGGCCCTTACCCTCCACAAACTCTAAGAGGCCCCTTGCAATGCCCTCTCCTGCCTAGGGGTTGGCACTGTACTCCACCAGGCAGCAAGACAGCTCCTCTGGCAACCTATCCGCTTTACTGAGCCACTGGCTAATACCTTAACGAGAGCCGACAGGGCCGCTGCAGAGACGCCGGACAAGGCATTAGCCTAATTAGCCCTGGCGGACATGCGCTGAGGTGTCACAACGCAAGCGGCAATGCCAGCCAAGGGGACAGCCACCCTCCAACCATTTGCTCTGCCCTCCAACGCCCGACGGATTAACCTGGCCACCGGGAGGGCTCAGGGTGCACTTTCGAGGGATTGAAAGGCTAGAGGGATCTTTGGGGAATCTCAAATCCGGCTGCCTGGGATCCTTCATGCACAGCCGTGCCCACCACAAACATGGCAAAGGGCCACGGCACATGCCTGGCAAAGGTCCAATACAACACAAACAGCGTGTCTCCCTCTTCTCAGAAACACCCTGGACGTCTTCCGAGATTGGGAGGAAGGGAAGCACAAGAGACGGGCTCCCCTGAAAGGGTGCCAGGCCACCAAAGGACAGCAGGCATTGCCTTAAATGGCTGAGCACTGCCACCCACCACATCGCAGCTGAAAGCTAGCTCACCAAGACATTTTCATTGTGTTATTTTGTCTTGTAAATCACCCTGGACAAATATTTAAAGGAGGGGTGCCAAGATGCTCTTGGTGATTTGCAGCAAAGGACATGCCACTTCTGGCACATCAAGCAAACACATCTAGCCCTGACCGATACCTTTTTTTTATAGTTGCTCAGTAGGCCCTGGAAATGCGTAGTCTCAGGCCCCACCCCACTCTGGCCATTAGTTAGAACCTTTTTTTGCACTTTACCCATTCCCCAACCTTATATTACCTCACTCTACTAGCCCTGGCCCAGTCCTTTCAAACTGTCTAAGCCCACTTTGAAATTCTGGCCATTGGTAGCTTATTTTGCATGATGGAATAGTTTTGGAACTAGTTTTTTTAATGTATATGATTGTGTTAATAGTTTTATGTATATGTTTTAAATGGCTACTATGTATGTTTCTGCGTTGCTTTGCTTATGTGGAAACTGCCCTGAGTCCCCTAGGGGAGATAGAACGGTATACAATAAAGTTGTTGTTATTATTATTATTATTATTATTATTATTATTATTATTATTATTAAAAACCTACAAGCAAATGGAATTCTTTTTTCTTTTTTTCAATCTGTGTGGAAACAACACAGAGCTGGAAAGGAAAACCAACCCCAAGATTCATGGCCAGAGTCAAGAGAGGAAAGTGGACTCACTTTATGCAAGCTGGAGTTGCTGCCATGGTGGCTGCTGCTGGCGCTGCCCGCCCCACTGCCAGTGCTACTGCTGGTGGTGGTGATGCGGATGGGGGTGCTCCTCAAGCCCAGGGTCAGCTCTGCAATACAAGAGAAAAAGAGTGGAGGTGTAAAAGGCAGCTGGCACAATAGGGAAGGGTCCAAAGGGGCAGGGCAGCAGGTGCCAAGGGATGCTCACCCTCCTGCCTTCAAATTGATCCCAATGCTTGACTAGCTTAAAGCAGGCAGATTGCACTTTTTGATTACAAACTCTGCACATTCCTTCTCAAGTTACTAGTCCACATGCACACAATCCATCGACCAGGATTCTATCTTGGCAAAAATGCAGCCCCCAGCCCTCCCGCTATCCAGCTGGTATGTAGGAACATCTACATTATCAACCCAAAAGTTTGCAAGGATAGCATTTAGCAACGGGGAGGTCAATGGGCACTTTCCATAGTGGGTACTACATCTGCCTTGGGGCATGCAAGGGTTACAAGGTGCTAGAGCACCATCCTTCCTTAAGACAGTCCTCCCCCAAGAATATAAACCTCATCTCTTTCCACCATCCAGGGCCCAACTATACAGCCCATCATCCCCTTCTTAGCCACCCAAGCCATTTGGGACATAAGGAGGAGAGATGGCTTCCTCCAAAACAAATAGGGAACAAGGTTTAAGGGCAGCACAGAGAGCATTAAAATTGCCCCATCCAGCCCAATCCCTAGAATCCATTAAGGGGGTGCATGCTGTCCCACAACTGTACCCTGACCTTGCTCCCTAAAATAGAGATTTATAGGTTTTTTCTTTTGCTAATCCCCACCCCGCCCAACCTCCACCGGCTTCTCATAGAATCCTACAATTGGAAGGGGACCCCAAAGGCCATCCAGTCCAACCCACAACTCAATGTAGGGTCTCCCTTAACGCAATCCCAACAAGTAGCTGCCCAGCATGTTTTGGAAGGCTGCCAAACAGGCAACAGGTTCCATCATCCACATACTCTGACCACCAAGAAGTTCCTTCTAGTGTTCCAAACAAAGCAACTCTCCTATGACTTAAAATCTGGGTGGAAGTAACTACACAAACAAACTTGGTCCTACAAAGTTCTCAGATGTTTTGCAATCTCCATATTCTATCAGACGATTTATCCACGTGTCGACATTTCAAACATGGTCAGAGGAAACTGCACTTTTCTGCAAAAGCATGGATAATCCAGTATCGGAAAGACAACCCATCCTCATCCAGAGAGTTGAACAAGGGTTGTAACGTTCAAGAAAGCAACATATTGCAACTGACAACTGGAGGAAGGTTCAAGTATTTAGAAAGTGATGGGGTGTTTTTTAGTCCCCATTCTTTTCAGCTTTAACAACAGAACATCAAAATATACAACCAAGAGCCTTGCTGTGTATCCTTACTTGGCATTAAAGACTGAATTAAGCATATACATATCTATATAAATAAAAATGTAATGTTTGTTTGTGGGATTAACATAACTCAAAAACCTCTGGATAAATTGCCACCAAATTTGGCCACAAGACACCTACTAACCCAAGGGGTTGACCATCACTAAAAAAAAATTGAGTTTGTCATTTGGGAGTTGTAGTTGCTAAGATTTATAGTTAACCTACAATCAAAGAGCATTCTGAATTTCACCAATGATGGAATTGAACCAAACGTAGCACACAGGACTCCCATGACCAAAAGAAAATACTCGAAGGGTTTGGTAGGCATTGACATTGAGTTTGGGAGTTGTAGTACACCTACATCCAGAGAGCACTGTGGACTCAAACAATGATGATTCTGGATCAAGCTTGGCATGAATATTCCATATGCCCAACTAGGAACACAAGCTTGGCATGAATATTCCATATGCCCAACTATTCCATATCCCCAACTAAGCTTGGGGGAAATAGACCTTGACATTTGGGAGTTGTAGTTACTGGGATTTATAGTCCACCTACAATCAAAGAAAATTCTGAACCCCACGAATGATAGAATTGGGGCAAACTTCCCACACAGAACCCCCATGACCAAAAGAAAATACTTAAGGCCATCCAGTCCATCTCCCTTCACCAGGGCAAGAAAATGTAATCAGATACTGTTTACCCACAAGCGTAAAGAAATTACATATATTAGAAGCCAACACCTTCTCATTACTTTATTTTCCAGACCACCAGACTGGGCCACAGCAATGCGTGACAGGGGATGGCTAGTATACATATAAATTCAGACACACACCAAGATAGATAAGATTGATAAGACAGATTAATAGGCAAAACCCTCCCAGAGCAAAACCATCATCCATCACATGGAAGAAAGTTCCTTATCTAAGAAATACTTTCTTTCCAACCTCTGCAAATTATTCCCGTTACCGGACCCTTAACATTCACTTTGGGAAAACTCTGGTACCCATTCTAATCCCATTTGCTTATTTAAAATTCACTGATAGTTAATAAAAAGACATTCACAGGGCATTGCCCACAAAGGGGCCAAAGAGAGCACCAGTTCTATTTCTTTGCAGATGGGAAGCGTGCATATATATATAAATCCTAGGTGTCAATGAAATGCCAACTCACCTGCCCGCTGGTTGCCTGGCGTCCCCACAATATGACTCCGGACTGGCTGGTTGCGGCCCTCCTTGATCTCGATGGTGAAGAGGGTTTTCATGGCCTCGTCGTCTTGGTGGGAATGTGCCAAAGGTTTGCGGGAGGTGCCACCCGGCTGGGCATCGGGCTCCTCTGCACTGCCGGCGCTCCCCTTGGCATTTTCAACCGAGGCAGCCCTCAGCTTGCCGCCCAGCCATTGGCTGCCTTGGCTCCGCCCCCTAGGAGTGCCCGCCTCTTTGGGGCCGGCCGAGAAGGAGGAGGAGGCCAGTTTGGGCACCTGCTCTGTGCCAACATCTCCTGCCCGTTTGGGGGTTTGCAGCCCGGCTGGCAACTCTCTGGATGGGGACCGCAGCTGCTGCAGGACCCGGGCCCCTTTGCCAGGGCCCTCGGCCTTGGGGGGCACTGCCTTTGTCACTGAGGGCTCTGCGTTGAACTTGCGTGCCTGCTCCCAGACTGAGCCCGATCGCTGTAAAGGCTGCTCCCGGCGGGCATCTGCCCAAAGAGAGAGAGAGAAAGCGAGGGAGGGATATGAATGTTGGCTTGGGATGGGAGCCTTTCCCATCCCACACACAGCAGGCGCTGTGCCAAGCCTCCTAAGGGGGAAAATCCCAGATCCCAGAGATTGAGAGGCTTAGGAGTCCCTCCCTTTCGCCTTTGGGAAAAGCCTCCCCTTCAAAATAGAGAAACAGAGATTAAACAGAGAAAGAGGCAAATAATAATTAAATTATTATTATTATATTTAAAACGTTATTATTATTTATTTATTTATTTATTTATTATTAAGATTGGCACCAAACATCTCTGTCTGTGTGAAAGCTCTATGTGAAAGTATCCAAGTCTCCAAACTGATTTGTGGGTTACACAACGTGGATTCCTACTGTAAAGTTCAGACTAAAACCAGGAGCAGAGTCATCACCCAGGCCTCAATGCCCTGTAGAGAGGTAACTCAGAGTGTTACCTGCATTGCCCTTTGGAGGTAGCACGGATGCTGCAGTTTCGCAGCTGCAGGCATCTAAGGGGGCAGGGCCCTTGGAATCAGCTGCTGGCAGAGCTGTTGAGAAAGAAGAGAGGAAATGATAACTTTCACAAGAGTATAGTCGGGATAGATAGAAAGTATATCCAATGTCTGTAAAATTGATATCCAACTGGAAAGCAACCCAGGGATGTATAGAGGCCCAAAAGGTGGCCAAACATGGCAGCATGGCACTCTTAAAGCTATCCAAGGTACCAAAACTAAGAGGGTGGAGCTGGCTTTGGAACCTACATTGTAATATTAATATTAATATTTGGGTTGACACCACTTTCACTGCCCTGACTCCATGTTATGGAACCCTGGAAGTTGTAGATTCACAAGGTCATTTGCTTTCCCTGCCCAAGAGGGCTGGTGCAGCCCCAAACTACAAATCCAAAGGTGCTTGGAGATGAAAGTTAAAACCAGAGAGGTCTGAAAGCAGCCATTTCCAATTGGGTGTGTTGGACTATAACCTCTATCATCCACAGCATGAGATTGGTAAACAACCTGTCCCAAGACGTGCCAGTTATAGATGAACAAATGCATGAAAGCCAAGGAAAATGGAAGGAGTCATTGAGTTGGAAGAGACCTCCAAAGGTCATCTAGTCCAACCCAGGGGCTCTGAATGTTTCACCCGACTTCCCTTTCTAGATATTTGAACTCTATCCCTCTCCTGTATTGCCAATGAAGACCCATTGTGGTGCCAAAAAGGAGGGGACGAACGGCTCCAGCAAGCAAGCCAAGCTGGAAGATGAGGAAAGAAAGACCCAGAGCCGTGGTTCAATGCCCTCTTGTCATACCCTCTATCCTAGATCAAGGTGGCCATACCTATCTGGCTGGGCAATAAGCTCTCCTGTCTTAGCGGCCAAGGAAGAAGGGACCAGGTTGGCCTGCTTTGAGGCAGAGTTCAGCCACGTTCCTCTTTTTTTTTTCCCCAAGACTCCAAAGCCCAGCATTCCCCCTTTAGGGGAAAGGCAAAAGCTGGCTAGAAATGTGATCCAAGTAGCGAGAGAAAAGGATGGAGTGATGGACTCTCCCAAAGCAGAGAACAGGCGAAGGCGAGGGGCCCTGCCAAGGAAGGAGAGAGGCTTTCCTCCGTTCGTGACCTTATTGGGAAAAAGAATGCAAAAGGTCCCACTTTGCCGAAGAGCCGGCATTCCCTTTCATGGCCCGGCGAGGGAGAGGGAAGGGCAAGGAGCCCAGCAAGGAAGACAGGGCCCTGGAGAGCAGCAGCATTGCTGAGACCACAGGAAACCCACAGGTGCTAGGGCAGCTCTTGTGAGGCTACAACTCCCAGCTTGCTTGCCCATGATCGACAGCTGAGCAGGACTTCTGGGAGTTGCATTCAAACAGGCCGCTGGGATTGACAGTTCCGGCCTAAACCAGTGACATCAGCATTTTGGGAACCATTCTGACCCTCGTAAAAAGCAGCACAAAATGGTGCACCCCGCTTACCATTAGCCTCTTCGTTCATTGTGCCCACTTTCTGGAAAAGAGAGAAAGAAATTCATCAGGATTCTAATGCGTCACCGAGCTTCAAAGGGAGAGATAACGCCACATCTAAGTGAGGCAACGAATCCGCTCTGGAGTTTGGTCCAAGCTTTAAAGATGCTCTCCAAAGCGCTAGAACTATGTCAACTGCTTTTTGTTTTTATAAATAAAAACAGGATTATTAATAATATTCATATTAATAATAAAAACTATGTAACAATATTTTAAAAAAAAATCTGTTCATGGTTTGAAAGTGTTATTTCCTGGTTAATTGTGCTGTCCTTGCTTTGAAAGTAGTTGTTCCACTCTGGAAACCTTGTTTTTGTGTTTGCCACAAACTAGGTTGAATTGGTTGAGTTTCTATGAGATAAAGGTAAAGGTTTTCCCCTGACATTAAGTCTAGTCGTGTCCAACTCTGGGGGCTGGTGCTCATCTCCATTTTTAAGCCGAAGAGCCGGCGTTGTCCGTAGACACTTCCAAGGTCATGTGGCTGGCATGACTGCATGGCTCACCCTTACCTTCCCACAGAAGTGGTACCTATTGATCTACTCACATTTCCATATTCTCGAACTACTAGATTGGCAGAAGCCGGGCCTAACAGCAGGAGCTCACCCTGCTCCCCGGATTCTAGCCGCCAACCTTTTGGTCAGCAAGTCCAGCAGCTCAGCGGTTTAACCTGCCACCAGGTGGATATTCATTAAAGAACTACAGCAAAAAGTGCTACAGGATATCCCTCCTGCAAAAACAAACGTTTCTGCAGTTTAATAAACTTTTCCTATGTTTTTATAATGCAACCAATTAGGAAATGACATGTATAACTCAGGAACAAAAATCATGTTACATAGTGTAATTGTTCAGTCCTCAGAGGAGCTCCTTCCAAGTTCAGACTAAAACCCAGAGTGAGCTTTGAAGATAATTCAGTCCCCTTAGTTCATTTATGCCAGACGTTGGCATGGAAATGAAAAAAGTATCACACTATATTATTTACTTGTAATGTAGTGATTGTGTTTCAAAACCAAAATCCATTAGCTTCGCTAAAACGGTCGCAAAGTATTGGCCGCCAGCTCGTTATTCGCCCTGGCATTTTGTTCTCTAAACAGTGCCCCTTTTTATACGGATGTGGAAAAGTTTAACTGGGTGACAGGTTCACACTGAGCACATTCTTTCCGAACTCGGCCGCCGAAAACACATGAAGTGCGCCAGCACAACATGCCATATGGGCAATGGGCAAAGTGCAAACCCTCTTGGTGACTTCCACCTGCTCTGTTACCCCAAGTACCTTTTCTTTTTCACTTGGGGGCCTCGGCTGTGACTCCTCTGCCCGGTTGGCATCTCCTCCTTTGCTGCCTGGCAACTCAAGGTGGTCCAGCATGGCATCCTCTTCCAGAGGTCTCAAAGCCTCAACAGCTTCCGGGTTGGACGTGGCGCTGTGCCTCTCAGCACCAGTCTGGGCCTCTGTCCCAGAATCACTGGCATCAGTGCCCTCGGCGCTCGACTCGGAATGCTCCGATTCCTCCGAAGGAGGCTGGCGAGGAACAGGATCGAGGAGCAAAAAGGTCCCCGGAGAAGAGTCTTCTAGGGAAAGTCCGAGTGAGTTACATTGAGGGGGCATCGATACTGAGGAATCAAGGCAGTTTGATACCACTTGAACTGCCCTTTGTGCCCCCAAATGTATTACCAATACACTCAATGAAAAAAAATCCCTTTGACTCCCATAATCCCTCTAACCCCTTTAATATCCCTAATGGCAGCTTTGCCCATTCTTCCCCCATGCCACCTCCTCGGCACAGTGGGCACTCACCTGGCATGTCTGTTGCCTTGGCTTCAGACTGCTGTTGACTCCGCAGCTCCCGGATCTGGGCCCGGATCAGTTCCCGCTCGGCCAGCTCCTGAGCCTGAAGAGAGACATGGCAAACCAGTTTAATTTAGATCCTAAATGCCAATGCAAGCCAGTTTTGCCTCCATTATTCTTATTATTGATCAAGATTCCTGCCCCCGCCCCAAGAACACTGGGATGCACGCTGAACTACCCGTCATGGCCTTGGGTGGGGCATCCTGCCCTCAAAAAGACAAGGATGAATGCTTGCCAACCCATGGGCACACCTTGGCTTCAAATCCGTGCCAGTCCCATTCCATTAGAAGGTCTCTCCTCCTTTCCCTGCTCCCTTAAACAATTAGATGATCATCGATGGGGAAGATGGGTACGGTTGCCAGGTAACAGAATGAAGCTTCCCCCTCCCCAGACCCTCCTGCCAGGTTGGTGCTGGGTTGCTAGGCAACTGTGCTTCTTTTCTCTTTTTCTAGGGAAAGAGATGTAGAGGTTCCAGGATAGGTTTTTTTTTTTTCCAGACTTAAGGATTTTGCGGGACTCTTAACTCCCAGCATCCCTCGCTAGGATGGTTCAGGCTGCTGGCAAATGCTGACCAATCTCTTCCTACCTCTAAGCTAAGACTCAATTTTCCCTAAGGAAGCCAGGTTTGGATCCAGGCCGGCTCACTTCAGATGGGGTCCTTGGCACAAAATCCCCGCAAACAGAATTCTAGTAAGTGAAAACAGCATCAACCATATCCCTGCAAACAGAAATCTAGCTGCACGAGATAATTTTTGACAAGCAGGACGGCTACTACCTTATTGGCAAGCAGAACTGGGCCACTGGTCACCAGGGACATCAAGGAGCCAGCCCATATTTGAATTTATTCAGACTATTTCTCAAAGCACAGATCACGCTGCCACCTTTAACTCAGTAATGCAAAGGAAATCCAGCCGAAATGTTGCAAAACACCCCCATCTAGTGGACAATCTGAGGATGGCATCGGATGCAGAAATTCAAGGCTGCAACTGAACTATAAATTCTAGGTTTCTGTGACAGCAGTTAATACTGTTTTTGCCCACCTCCGAAACACCTCTGTCAGCAGTCTTCTCTTCTTGGCCCTTGGATTCAAGGGTCTCCTTGGGGCCCCTCTGGCTGTAATAGGCCTTCCCAGCCAAGGCTATGGAGAAGAAAAGGAGGATGAGTCAAGTCCCCAAACAAAAGGGAGGCTGTGCCCATGAAGCCACTGGATCTCATACCCTCAATCTCTTCAGCACGCAATTTGCGGATGGCAGCGCGGATCAGCTTGCGTTCTTCATACTCACTGGCCCCTCGCAACTGGAAGAGAAAAGTGAGGTTAGCCTCTATCACTTATTGTTGTTGTTGTTGCTGTTGTTGTTGAGACAGAAAGGAGAGAAGGCTTTGCCAAGTTCTCCCCAATCGCCTTGAAGGCCTGGAAGAGAAACCGGATGGCACCAGTGGGCAAAACTGGCAAAGACTCACCAGGGCTGTCAATTCCTCCACATCCTGGATGCTTTCGAGTTTCCCGGAAAGAAGATCCAAGGATTTCTCTTGCTGCTGTTGCTCCTCCAACTGCCGGGATCTGAAGGAAACCCAATGGGTAAGATGGCAGCAAATGGCAATGATCTGTAGAACTGCTTGGCAAAGGGAAGCCCAAAGCTGCCCCAAATGAGACACGGCCCAAGGCAGGATGATCTTCTTTCTGCCGGCCCTCACCTGAGCAAGTTCTCCTTGTTCTCCCGCCGCTCGGTCCGGAAGCGCTTGGATGCCAGGGCCTCCTCGTCGCGCTCCAGCTCCTGTCGCCGCAGCTCCCGGATGGCCGACCGGATCTGGCGTCGCTCAGCCAGGTCCAGGGTGGCCTCCAGCTAAAGGGTGGGCACCCAAAGAGAAGGGGAGGGTCACTCGGGGGCTGAGATGCCAAGCCCACCCCCGGCTTGACCACCCCCCAGGCCTGGCACACAATGGAGGCACTGTCCTGGCACATACTGGGCCCCAGTGTCCCTCCGCATGCCAACACAAGCCAATGACTCACACGTGCCACTGTCCCCCGTGCCCTGGACTTGAGGACCCACCAACGCACGATGGGCAGAGAATTCCTTCAGGGTTCATGACTCTAACAAAAGCAGGCAAAGGGAAGGGGCCAAGGTGTCCACCCAAGATGCATGCGCACAGAGACTCAGATAATGTTTTTTCTTTTGAGTCCAGGTCCCGAGTTATCATTCCTGGAAGGAAGTTTGTGCAGCCATTTGGCTTGAAATCATTCCTCCCTGTTTCCCAAGCCCTGGCGATTTACACACGGCTTTGAAAAAGAGCCCAGATATAAACAAGGGGGAGATTTACGATTTGTGTAGAGCCCTTCATCTTAAAAGGCAACAACTCTGAGGGAAATATGTCTCCCACACAGCATCAAACAGAAGAGCCGAAGGGAACCCAAAGGCCATCCAGGCCAACCCCTAAAGAAGCTCTGGCATTTCACATCAATGTGTGGCATTTCCCCACTTCCCCATTGCCCACTCCACTCTAGAGAAAGCCACCTGGAGAAATGAATATTGGCTCTCATATTGCTTCAATCTTGGGGGCTGCCAACCCGAATCAGGTCTACGCCATAACCTAAGAAGTGCTCTATGGAAATCTGTAAGGTTCACCCTCCCTTCAAATTTGGACTGGGGTCCGGGGTGGATTTACGGCCCACAACCAATAGCAGGAGTCCAAGAAAAAAGCAACCTCAAGGGGTGATCTAGATCCCTCTGGAGCATTGCTGGGAGGTGAAGCCCACAAGAGGAGTTTATCCCCAGCTCTGCGTGCCTTCCGTGCCATCCTTATCTCCTCTCTCCTTCTCCCTCCTTTGTGTCGGATCATTTCCTGAAGGTGGGGTCCAGCCAAGCGCTTCCAGGCATTCACAGCTATCGGCCCTACTTCCTGCCCTCTTTTATCTTGGTCAGGAAAGGATCCACAGGCCTGTTTTCCGGAGTTCAAAGGCCCCCCAGTGGGCAAAAAGCCTCTCCAGTGACGTGGGTCAGATGGGGGGTGGGGAGGGGGAGATGCCATTGGAAAGCTTCCTGAAAAGTTTTCCAAGGCTCTGATCTAACACTGGGTCAAACAATTACATGTTAAAACACAGTCAAGAGTGAAAGCGATTCTATGTGAAACAGATAGCATATCCTTCCCATCCCATTGCCAAAGAGAGTTGTATATGATAGGGGATGGCATAGGGGGTTGCCTGCAGGGCTAGATGACACTTCCTTGCCCCCTGAAGCCTTTGGCCAGCCCCAAAAAGTAATCAAAATGTGGTACGATTTTAGAGCAAAAAAAGGCAGCAAGACGGCCTGGAACTTCCCAGCTTCCAAAGCAGACTGGGAAGATGCCAGGAAGCAAAGGGAGCGCAGAGGCCTGAAACGTCCCTCAAACAGAGCAGCCGCAAAGAGGAGCCAGATGTGCTGGAAGCCGCAGAGAGGTCAGCAGCGAACTGGACGTCCCACGGTGGCTCTGGGAAGAACATGACGTCCTGCCCAATCAGGAAATGAAGGGTTGCGAGCCCAACCACCGGCCGGGAGGAACATGACAGCACAGGCAAAACCCCAAAGGGTTGGATGGGCCCGTCTCAGGGGAACAACAGAGGAAAGGGATGGGCCCAGTGGGTTTGAAAGAAAAGGCTGGCGCAGAGGAGCCATTTCTAGTGGAAAAGAGGAGGAGGCCAAAGGGGGTGAGAACAGCAGGGTGCCAAGTTTGCGCCAAGCCCAAAGCTCAGCCCCAAAAGGGCACAAGGGTCACTGGATCCCGCTGTTTCAATAAACTGAAAAAGGGCAAAGGAGAGAGAGGGCATTTCTTCATGTTTCAGGCAGAGAGACAAGCTCTGGCCAAAAAGGAACAGAGCAAAGGGTCATCTTAACCACCCTTGCCAGCTTTGGCCCTGGTGGCACCTGGCTGCAGAAGATAGAAATCCAATCAAGCAGGCACAGAAAGTGAATGCAAGAAAGTTACTGGCCGTATGCATCTCAAACAAGGCAGGTTGGTATCACAGGATTGTGGCACTGAAGGACATCCCTGAGATCATCTAGTCCCACCCCTCTGACAGGGCAGAAGCCAACACTTAACACTCTCTGAAATGGAGCTCTGAAAGAGAGGGCACCGTTCACCTTATAAATGTTAAGAAAGAGCAGGAGATGAACGTGCCTTGGCTGGCACAGGTGAGCACATCCCTCACTCCAGACTCAGCCCTAAGGAATGCATTGCGGGAAAGAAGAGAAAAAGAAATGGCACCACCAGAGGCACTGGGGTGGCAAAACAGGCGAATGAGGGAAGGAGGGGGTGGAAAAATGGTGGGGAAAAAAGTCCAAAAAAGAACAAGAGAACAGTTTCTCCTGATCGAGGTTAATCCCCTCTTAGCCTGAGCAGGGATGAGAAGAGCCAGAACCCAAAATTCCAGGCTCAGAAAGTGCCTGAAAGAGGCATCAACAAGATGAGAAGGAAGCTGTTGGGGAAAGAGAACCCAAACGCTGCTGGACTACACACTCCATCATCCTCCAGCAAAGCACCACCACATTTGGTCATTTGTGGTCCCCATGCCTATAAAAAGCATCCTGCACAGCTGGAAAAGCATTTGAAAAAGGACCGAAGGGGCCAGAGAAACCATAATTACAGTGTCAGCAACCCTCGGTTCCATGTCATATTTTTAAACTTGCAAGGCTTTGCAAGGGAAAGCCTTGTAACATCCTTTGAAAAATTACAGGACTTACAGAAAACGCAGTCCCTTCTAGGTAGCACCTTTTCACACGTCCATGAATTTGTTTCTTTCCCTTTTTGCTTGTTTGTTTATACCAGACATGGGCAAACTTGGGCTCTCCCTCCAGGTGTTTTGGACTTCAATTCCCACCATTCCTAACAGCCTCAGGCCCCTTCCTTTTCCCCCTCAGCCGCTTAAACAGAAAAGGAAAGGGAAAAGGAAGGGGCCTGAGGCTGTTAGGAATGGTGGGATTTGAAGTCCAAAACACCTGGAGGGAGAGCCCAAGTTTGCCCATGCCTGGGCTGAACCCAAACTGTGTAGGGCTTTGGGGGCCAAAAGCAGCCCTGGAAATGGCAACATCATGGACTTGGTTTTGTTTTAAGGGCTGCTCCGGCAGGGAACTCCACGCTGCATCCTAAGTACGCCTTTGGGGCCTTTCTAGACTACAGCTCCCGGCCAAAACGGGAGCCTGGTGTCTGTCTGCCTTCACAGCCAAAGGAAAAGGCTCAGCAGTGTGGCCAAAAAGGCGTCCTCACCCTCTTTTCAGGCCAAAACGGATTAGCACCGTAGAAAGGTTCACATTTGGTCTGGAACAGTAAAAGCACTGTTTATCGTTTCCGGCTCATCTGCCAGGATTTCACAAGCCTTTTCCCACATCTGTTTGGCCAAGGACATCTTTCAGCCCCCAAGTAAAAGCTATGGAAATAGGACTGTTTGGAGAGCTCAAACTGCTAGGAAACAACAAAAAATGATGACCCTCACAACAGTCCTGCGAGGTTGGCCGCTATGGGATGAGAGGCTGAGGATAGCAGCATCCAAGCCCTCTCCCCAAACTCTGGATTTCAAGAAGCTTCAGGTGGCATTGCCAATGATGAAGAATCCAGGGAGTTGCCATTCCAAATGCCAGCTGATTCATACTTTAAACGATTCTTTTAAGGTGCTGAAGTGTCCCTCTGAACTCGTTTCAGCACCATGGAGAGCTTCTCTGAATCCATTTTGGCCCCATTGGCATGGAGGCTGGCAGTGCCCACTGCCCAGATCAAGGCCGGGCATGGCTCAGACATTGGGCACCCATTCAATAGGAATCAATGCCCCCCCCCCCAAACGCTGGCACAACCTTAAAGGGGAAGCAAAGGCCTGGCATTGCTTTGAAAGGAACATAACAACTCACGCCTGCCCTTCCAGAGCTAAATAAAGGTCGAAGCAATGGGGCTTTGTTTTTGCAAACAGCAATGCCAGGCTTCCGGCTGCTAAGCCCATTCTTTGCATGCTCCATTATCTCTTTCCGCAAACATGGTGAAATGATTCGGCACACCTGGCACAGGGCACGGCAGTCGGTGGCAAACACCAAGCCTTGGCAAGGCCAGAGGCACCAGGAGAAAACACAGGGAAAGAATGGGCATGCTGGTTTGTTCCCTATTCCAAATGGTTCAATTTGGAAAATTTGGAAAGTTCAATAACTGCTGAGTTAAAAAAAATACAACTCTAAGAAATGTAGTCTTTCTCTTTGGACATGAACCCAAGTTACGCTCCCTCCAAATGGTGCCTCTCCCTTAGAGTCCGATTCCAAACAGCTCCTTCTTCACTCAAAACAGGGCCTTACTCTCACAAAATGGAGTGTTACTCCAAATGGCACCTCTGACCTCAAAACGGTATTACACAAAATGGTGCCTTGCTCTGTCAAAATGGATTCCTACTCCAAATGACACCTCTCCCCGCAAAATGGCGCCTTGCTCCCCCAAAATGGAGTCCTACTCACTCCAAAAGGCATCTTCCTCCCTCAAAAGGGTGCCTGGTCCCAAAAATTGGAGTCTTAGTCAAAATGGCATCTTGCCCCCTCAAGATAGAGTCCTACCCCTCAAAATGGCGTCTTCCTCACCCAAAATGGCACCTTGCTACCCCAAAATGGTGTCTTACTCAAAATGACTCCTCTCCCCTCAAAATGGAGTCTTACACAAAATAGCACCTTGCTCTCCCAAAATGGTGTTTTCCTTACTCAAAATGGTGTCTTGCTCCCTCAAAATGGAGTCTTAGTCAAAATAGCGCCTTGCTCCCCCAAAATGGCATCTTCCTCACTCAAAAGGGTGTCTTAGTCAAAATGGAGTCCTACTCCCTCAAAATGGCATCTTCCTCGCTCAAAAGGGTGCCTTGCTCCCTCAAAATGGAGTCCTACCCCTCCAAATGATGCCTTCCTCACCCAAAATGGCACCTTGCTACCCCAAAATGGCATCTTACTCAAAATTACTCCTCTCCCCTCAAAATGGAGTCTTACACAAAATGGTACCTTGCTCCCCCAAAATGGTGTTTTCCTTACTCAAAATGGTGCCTTGCTCCCTCAAAATGGAGTCCTACTCCTTCAAAACGGCATCTTCCTCACTCAAAAGGGCACCTTGCTCCCTCAAAATGGAGTCTTACCCCTCAAAAGGGTGCCTTGCTTCCCCAAAGGGAGACTGTTTGAAATTATTGCTCTTGGCATATTAGGCAAACGTCCTGGTGGCATCGTGTTCTCTCGCCCACACTGCCTAGCCACCTTGAGGTGTGGTGTATCACCTCCCCGCTCCCCTGCCGCCCCCAAAACAGCGAGGTTTGCAGAGAGGTGAAGCCTTGCCAGAAGGCCACATGCTTTCCCCGATGGTGTTAACACCCTACCTGCCTGGCACCCTCCAGGGCTTTGCTGGGCCAAGGTGTTGACAGGCAGCTCCCGGTTGGCGCCCGGGTGCCAAGGGGGGGAGCAGCGCCCTCTCCTTGCCACCTTCCTAGCTGGAGGCAAACCAAGCTGGTTCTGGCAGAGAAGGGAACTGAAACCTGGCATCTGAGGCAGGCAACCTGGGTTTGAAGGGGCCCCGTGGGCATAGAGGTTCAGGGCTCCTGGCTTGATGGGCATGCCAAGAGAGCCACTTTGATTTGATTGGTTTTTGTCTCCATGCAGGGCCCTCACCCTTTGCAGGAGCCCAGGGCAAACCGTCAAACAAACCAAAGAACTGCAGGGCATCCAAACCCTTTCCTGATGAAAGTGTTTCTCTTCTGCCAACCCTCCTGCCTTGGCACTGCCTTGGGAACAGGGGGAAGGTAGCAGTGCCCTCTGAGAGAGGAAAAATGAGCAGGATTATTTTCATGTTATAACCGGAACTCCGGTTACAGAGCCCAGCATCCCCAACCAGTGGGATTGCAGGGTCCAAGAAACCCATTGGTTGGAACAGGGAATGTTATGTCCCAACTGATGCCCACCTCAGAAGGGTGGCAAAGGGTCGGGAAAAAATGTTTTCAGAAGATACAAAGATTTCAACTCAGGACATTCTCTTCCCAAGACAGCAATCCAAATGAAAAAGTGTGTTGAGTGCATTTTGGGAAAGATAGAATTATAGAACCTCCTTCCTGGCAGGCAGGGGCACACAACTACATCGCTGGACCATAGCACCTACGGCAGATGGTGCCAGGTTTGAAGCATGTCCCAGCACTCATTTTGCATCTCCAACGGACACTCTGGGAATCCGCACAAAGGGGCCTTGTGGATGGCACATGCCAGCAGCTTACCAATGGCCAACAGCCAGGTGAGTCAAACAGAGGCCCTCCTTTTCCAAGCGGGCAAAGCTCTGGGACGTTTGCCTGGCACAGTGGAAGGAAAGCAAGGATGCCAAGGGCGGGCGTATAACGAACTCCAAAGGAACGGAAAGGTGCCAAACAGGGAAAGCTTCATATTTTTTGAACGGATCCAGGTTTAAAACAGGTAACTCCTGACTCTGGGATTGGGCATGCCCCCTTGCCACCTGAAACCTGGCACGCCCACCCCTGAATGCGTTTCGAGGGAAAGCCAAGCCAAGCAGTTAGCCGGAGTTCAATCCCCTTAAGAAAAGAAGACACACAGATGGGATGCCTCTCCTCCAAAAGCAAGCGGAGGAGAAATGGGTTGGCTGCCTTGGCAGAGCCTCCCCACTTCTGCTGTGGTTGCATTCCTGAGGGCAGCATCGCTGGGGATACGACTCACCAGCTTCCGGAGCGTCCCCTCGTCCATGCTCAGGAGCGTCTCCTCCGACATGCTGCCCACTGCTACTGTGGCTCTCGCCTTTCTGGGTGCCCAGAGACACCGGCTGCAACCTCGATTTGGCACTCTCTCCCAGTGGGTAGCTAATTTGGGGTGGAGATGATGTCAATCCTGGCAGGAAACAAAGCATGGTTCCGATCAGGGAGACCTCACCAGAGAAGCACAAAGTGACAGATGATGCCAGGTCCAGAAAACTGTGCCCATCACGATGCCACAGCAGCTACCCGGTACTCTCCATCCAAGGCGCTGGTGTCCAGGAAAGCCGGGCAAGGCACCTCGGAGCATCCCAAACCTGAAATGCACTGACTCAGGGACAAGGAAGTCATCTCAAGAAATGCCACTGAGAAGTCCCTGCGCATGCCAGGATGCCAGGAGAGCGTCCTCAAATGCCAAGGGAGATGGTCAGATGCCACCATGACAAAACGGCAATCTGATGGTGGCATCGGAGAGCATTGGAGCCCCTCCAAAGCAGCAATGCTCAGCCCTTGCTCCTCCTCGCCCGGAATTCCTGACTAGAAGACACACCGAGCAGGGATTCTGGGAGTTGAAGTCCCAAAACATTGATAGCTGGGCATCATTGCTTTAGACTGAGGCACACCAATGTCATCCCTGGGAGCCATGGGTATCAAACCTTGACAGATGTTCTGGATTCCACCTCCCATTAAGTATGAAGCCCAAACTCTCTGACCCAGAACCCCCTTTGTGTTCTGGAAACAACACATGGAAGGAAATCCCAGGTCAGGCCCAAGGAAACGAAATACAAGAAAGTGGAGACTCTCCAGAACTTTGGGAAGTTTCAACCCCACCCCCGCAGGATAACAACTCCCAGAATCCCTTGCCAAGACCCAAAAATAGTAATAGTAATGATAATAATAATAATGTCACTTTGTCACAGTCCACAGTCTAAACTACGACTCCCAGAATCCCCTGCCAAGACCCAGTAATAGTAATAGTAATAATAAGGTCACTTTTTGTCACAGTCCAAACTACAACTTCCAGAACCCCCTGCCAAAACCCAGTAATAGTAATAGTAATAACAAGGTCACTTTGTCACAGTCCGAATTACAACTCCCAGTATCCCATTGCAAGATAATGGAGGCTTTCCAGAACTTTGGGAAGCTTCAACCACACCCCCAGGATGACAACTCCCAGAATCCCCTGCCAAGATCCAGTAAGTGTAACACTCAAATCAGAGAATCATAGAGTTGGAAGAGAGAAGGCCATCTAGTCCAACCCTTTTCTGACATGCAGGAAAAACACAATCAAAACATCCCTTACAGATGGACATCCAGACTGTTTATTATTATTATTAATGTCATTTTGTCACAGTCCACAGCCCAAACTACAACTCCCAGAATCCCCTGCCAAGACTCAGTAATAATAATTATTATACTATAATAATAACAACAAGGTCACTTTGTCACAGTCCAAACTACACCTCCCAGGATCCCATCGCATTGAGGGGGTCTCAAACCGCCTTCAGCCTACCGATCTTGCCAAACCACAACTCCCAGGCTCCCGCGGGCCCTTTTCAAACCGGGAGTCCGGGGAGTTGTAGTTCGACAGGATCCCGAGCCTTCCCTGCCCAAGACTGCCCACTCCCGCTCCCAGGATCGGATCGCCTGGAGCCAGGGCAGTTCAAGTGGTGTCAAAATGCGTTAACTCCGAGTGTGGATGCCTGGATCGAGACCCTCCTCCCTACCCGGAACACAGACCTCGCCGAAGCCATCCCGCGTCTGCCGCCGCTCCTCCGCCAGCGCCCAGCCTTCCTGCTGCCGTGGCCACGCCTCCGTGTCTCCCCTCGGCCAATCACAGCGTGAGCATTCCCGAAGCCGCGCCCAGAACGGGTCTTCCTTTCCCTCGATTGGTTGAATTCAATTTTGCCAGCCCTGCCTACCTGGCCATTTCAGCCCGCCTCTTTTGCTGCATGCTGGGGCGAGTAGTTCCCAATTTGAGTTTGAGCCTCTGTTGGCTGCATCTATTACTACTATTGGTATTATTGTTATCTTCTATTTGACCCTATTATTATTACAATTATTACTATACACTTATTAGTATTACAAATTATTATATAATAATATTATATTTGGCCCTATTATTATACACTTAGTATTATTATAAATTATTATTTAATTATATCATATTTGATCCTATTATTATACACTTAGTATTATTATAAATTATTACTTTATTATAATATGCTCCCATTATTATTATGTCATTATATTATATTTGACCCCATTATTATTACACTTATTATTATTATAAAGTATTATTATTATTATTTAATCTTGTACCCATTACTCTGGCCCGGCCCAGTTTTATAGTGTCTTGATGTATTGTTATTGCTTGGTGTTAATATTGCTTAACTGTTTTTAATTTGCTTTAGGTGTTGTATTGTTGTGTTGTGTTTTGAGGCCTTGGCCTATGTAAGCCGCATCGAGTCCTTCGGGAGATGCTAGCGGGGTACAAATAAAGTTTAATAATAATAATAATAAGCTACCTATCCGACCGCATCTCTGCCTATGAGCCTACGAGGACTTTGAGATCTTCCGGGGAGGCCCTGCTCTCGATCCCGCCTGCCTCACAGGCACATCTGGCGGGGATGAGAGATAGGGCCTTCTCGGTGGTGGCCCCTCGGCTGTGGAACGCCCTTCCCACGGACATTAGACTAGCTCCATCATTAATGGTATTCCGCAAAAACATGAAAACCTGGTTGTTTGAGCAGGCATTCGAATAGTCAGTGCAATGAATGTAATGAACATAGGAATGGAACAATGGATGACGGATCTGGATCATGTTTTTAGTGATGAGACGCTAGCGAATGGCTATTGGTGTTAATTGTATATTGTTGTTAATTGTATACTTTTCTATAATATGTTATAATGTTAACTGTTTTTTATACCGTGTTATGGTAGCATTGAATTTTTGCTGTTCTTGTTGTTAACCGCTGTGAGTCGCCTAAGGGCTGAGAACAGCGGTATACAAATAAAGTAAATAAATAAATAATATTATCTTCTAATATTATGACCCCATTATTATTACCATTATTATACACATATTATTATAAATTACATTATATTTGACTGTATTATTATACACTTAATATGATAAATTGTTTTGTTCTATTTAACCCTATTATTGTACACTTATTATTATTATAAATTATTTTTTTATTATATTATGCTCCCATGATTTTTATAAATTATTATTATAGTCTATTCTATTTGACCCCATTATTATTACCATTATTATTATTATTATTATTCTAAATTATCTTGTTATATTTGACCCTATTATTATACACTTATGATAAATTATTATTCTATTCTATTTGACCCCATTATTACCATTATTATTATATACACATATTATTATTATAAATTATTAGTTTATTATAATATTATATTTGACCCTATTATAATATTAGTTTTATTTATTTCCCATATTTATATCCCTATTATTATACATTATTATTATATTATGTTATATTTGACCCCAATTATTTTTATACACTTATTATGAATTATTATTTTATACTAATATTTTGGCCATTATTATAAACTTATTATAATAAATTATTATATTATAGTATAGTATATTTGACCCTATTATTACCATTATTATTGTTATAAATTATTATTATATTTGACCCCATTATTACTATTGCCATTATTATTATACACTTACTATTATTATAAACTATTATTATATTATATTTGACCCCATTATTATAATCATTATTATTATACACTTATTATTATAATAGATTATTATGTTATATTATATTTGACCCCACTTTTGATTATTACCATTATTATAATGCACTTATTATTATAAACGTTATTATTATTATTATTATTATTATTATAAAATTAGTAAAAGTAGTATTATACTTGATCTCACTTGAACTGCTTCATGTTAGGGAATCCTGGGAGTTATAGTTTGCATTCTTTGGCCGAGAAGACCTTGGGAAATGACAACTCCCAGAATTCCCATAGCACCAAATGCTTTGAAAAAAAATATGTTTGGGGGGAGTTACATCTCCCGGACTCCCCCAGCACACCTCCAGGTGGTAGAACTTGGAGAACTGCAACTCTCTTCGGACGTGTGGCAGGAAGATGAAGTGGCTCCCAGGCCAATGTGCCGCGGATCCTTTCCAGGTTCTAGTCCAAATGCAGTAACTCCAATTGAACTGCCACGGCTCAATGCCATGGCATCCTGGGAGCTGTAGTTTCCCAAGGTCTTGAGCTGGGGCCTCACCAAACTCTGACACCCAGGATGCCATAAAAAGAGAGAAGGGGTGAGAAAACAGGGGATCTGACTTCCTTGTGATTGATCTCTGTTCTGACAATGGGAACGTTCTGTTTTGTGTGCTGTTCAATTTGCTCGCTTCGTCTCACTTGGACAACGGCAAACGGTGTGTTTCCTTCTGGTTTGCGCTCCAACCTCTTCTTTGCAAAACATTTGTGTTCAAAACTGATGCCTAGTGTTGTCTTTCCTGCTTGTTGCTTTTCTTGGATGGAGGATGGTATACGGCATTTCTGCCGCAGTTTGACAACAGTGCCTTTTGGGGAGAGGGGAAGGGACATACTGAAAATCCCACCGTAATCACATCTGCGACTGAAAGGCATGCCTGATGCCCAAAATAAAGGCATGGAAACTTTGACGACAAGTCAACACAGACACAGCATTGGCATACCCAGATCTCTGCCAAGCAGAGTGGCACGACAGCAGGACCCTGAAGCAGGCATCAACTTAATCTACATTGCAGAATGCAAGCTCTTTGGCACCGCTTGAGAGTTCAAGAGGCCCCCCTTGACCTTTGCTCAAATGGTGCCCCTCTCCCTGACATGTGCCAACTTTGCTCAGGCTTGGCGCTAAGAAACTATATCCCCCCCCCCCCCCCCGTTTTATGTTGAGGGTTTGGCCAAATGGGAGGAAAAAAAGACAGAAGGGAGCCTTGTTTTGTTTAAAGTCCTTTCCGATGGAATGAAAAACAAAAGCGAAAGGCATCATGGAAAGCCCTTTCCGCACAAAGAGGTGCAAACTTGGCTCTGCTTGTAACCCTTTCGAGGCAGGCCAATCCCAGGAGCAGTCTCTTTGGAAGTCATGGTTCCCAAAGGGCGCCTGAGAGAGTCTCCAACCCAATAGAGGAGATTTGCACCTCGGCGGGATTCAACCCTCTGGTCGTTGGACATCTTGCCTCTCTTGGGTTGGAGAACCGCATTGGCACCTTTCGCCCATGGGGGCAAACCCTCAGTTCACAGTCCTCTCTGGACTTTTCCCATAAATCTTTCGGCAGAAACAGAACAACTTGTGCCACTCAGTCATTCCGAAACGGATTCCGAGGACCTGGCATGAGCACCGGGCATCATCGCTCTGTGCCTCAGAACTCTCCTTTAATCATTAACATTCAAACCTTGCCATGGCAGCAATAAAGCTTCTCCCGGGCTTCGCTTCGAGGGCCGACTTCCTCATCCGGAAACTTTGAGCCCCATCATCCGGAAAGGGCATGGCGGGCTCTTTATGCCAGTTTTGTCGATAATTTGGGGGGCATTCCATATGCGCAATTACCACAAACATTCCTGATGCCACAGGCATCCACCAGGCACACTTTGGCCATCAAAAAAACCCATTGAGCCACGCCCAACTTGGGCATCAATAAACCCCATTGATTCCATGGGTCGATGCCACTTGGCACAATCCGAGCCATCCATTTGCGGCAAACAAAGGTCTTGCAAAAAACCAAAGCAAAGAGGAAGAGCCAGAGTAGAGACAGAGTGGATGTCTTCCCACTTTTCTTACTCCTCCCAAATTAAAAAAAATGCCCATTTTTCCAATATGACTAATGCCCATCCGTCTCACTTTCCCTGAGGCTTATCTTTCCCTCTTGCACATTTCTCCCAAAAAAAGCAATCTTCCCCACTTTTTGGCAAGCCAGCCTGACCTTTCTCCGGCTGGATGGATTGCTCCAGGCTCTGTTATTCTGGGCGCTGTTCATATTTTATATTTCCTAGGGCTCAAGGGCCCGGCCTCGCACCACGCAAAGGTGCCCATCATTTCTGTTTCGCGTGTTTGGGGGTTAAGATTACTTTTCCCGAGAAAAATGAGAAACTCGGGTTTCTATTTTGGTCAGAGCGAATGGGTGGCTGCCAAAGGGGCTTTTCAACCCCAAACTGAAACCTTGCGTACTTTGGAGAGCGAAAGGGATATTTATTTATTTATCGTATCAGAAGCAAACCGAGGGTACAGTTATAGTGTATTTTAAAAACACAAAGTTTAAAAAACTTGGCATTATATTAAATGTCCTTTGATCAGTAGCTGGCCACTTGGAGTGCCTCTGGTGTTGCTGTAAGAAGGTCTTCCATCGTGCATGTAGCAGGGCTCAGACTGCATTGTAATAGGTGGTCTGTGGTTTGCTCTTCTCCACACTCGTATGTCATGGACTCCACTTTGTTGCCCCATTTCTTAAGGTTGGCTCTGCATCTCGTGGTGCCAGAGCGCCGTCTGTTCAGCACCTTCCAAGTCGTCCAGTCCTCTGTGTGCCCAGGGAGGAGTCTTTCATTCAGTATCAGCCATGACTTGAGGTTCTGGATTTTTGCCTGCCACTTTTGGACTCTCGCTTGCTGAGGTGTTCCTGTGAGTATCTCTGTAGATCAGTGTTTCTCAACCTGGGAATCAGGACCCGGGGGGCGGGGGGTTGCGAGGGGTTGTCAGAGGGGTTGCCAAAGACCATCAGAAAACACTGTATTTTCTGTTGGTCATGGGAGT